GACCACGGAGCCAGCATTTTAAGTCATCACAGGCGCACTGCTGACCTTAAGGCAGTTTCAAAAGATAGCCAGCTTCTGATATCCCGCATTTTGGTCAAGTTCAGCTGCATGACATGCATCTTTCATGAACAGGGCAATCCCAGAATGCATTGCAATTGGCTTAGTGAATAATCTAGGATGACAGGATGTCAAGGCCCCCCCCCCAAGAAATTAATACTTTTCTTCAGCAAGGATCCATTAAAATGATCAAAAGTGGCATTTATAATTAAAAAATATTTCTATTTCAAATAAATGATGTTCTTTTTAACTATATTCATCAAAGAGTTCTGAAATCATGGTTGTCGGTAATAGCTAATATATTATGCCCTGGGCCTTTGCTGAAATTCATAGGGCCTGGATGTGTAGGCTACGACCTACAAAACCTTGGTAGACCCAGGACACTGTTCCTGATTGTCCTCCCCTGATGACAGTCCTGTCTGTGTCCATGTATGCATGAAGAATCGATCTAAACTTGCAGGGATTTAGAGGTCCTTTGATGTGACAACACACTGAAAATTGCTTAAAATAGCACTAGAGATTAAACTGATGTAATCCTATTTAAAGGAACCTTTACCAAATGTTTATTATTCAATTGCCATCTGCCAGAAAACTCTTGCTTAACCTACAAACGATGGCATTTATATTTGTCCAGTGTCACCATATAGGCCTACCGCTGACCTCACTCTCAGCACTCAAGATGAACTCTCTGATAATTAAACCCTGCGTTCCCCTAACAATAGAGTCTGAAATCAAATGGGAAGGGTCGCTCATACTCATCAGACTTGAGTCGCTTCGCCCATTCCTCAGAAGTGCATCCTGATGTGCAGCTGCCCAAGATTAGCAGGTAATTTAAGGCTAGCTCAGATCGCTCATACTAAAGCTTTATCAGATAAACACTGTGAGCCAGAGACAAACAAAAGAGGAGATTATATTAGAAGACAATGGGTCTCTGTTTAATGAGAGTAGGCTCCTATCAACACTCGGTTCAAGGTTTTTTTTTTTTTTTTACATTTCAGGAAGGACGTTTGATAAAAGCTGCTTGCCTATTTTTGAGCACCTGGAATGTGCCATGGGTTTTCAGCTTTTGCTTTTAGAGTAGGTCTATAAATTGACAATGATGAAGTTAGTTACTTGTAGCCTAGTTGTTGCCTATAAATGCACTTGAATCTTGTACTTAATTACTCACCCCTTTGTCATTCAAATCCGAATGCTGTTTTTTCTGTGAAACACAAAAGGAGAATTCTAAAGAATCTTTACACAGCTTTTTTGTTTTACTGTATTCAAGCCGTACTAACATAATCTGTCCACACCTCTGTATTGCAAATTTATTTAAGCTATTTGATAGCTTTGTGTGAGGAACAGACATTTGTTGTTATTCCCCTCCAGTGAGCTGTAAACTTGAGAACTCAACTCAAATTCTCTTTCAAGTTGAATCAGATCAGTCCGATTCGCTGAGGAAAACAAAACAAAATTACTTACAATATGAATCAAACTGACTCAGTTGTTGAGTTAAATTATATACACTAATAAAATCGGTAAGAAATAGGGCACAATGTAATGTATCAATATAAGGGAATTTTCCATATGGATTTTTTTTACAGGTGTTTTACCTGTATTTTGAATTTTGCACGGCATTGCATTGTGTTTTACAGTTAACAGAAATGTCTGTAAAGATTAATTGATAGACAAAATTAATTGGCAGAAAATTACCAGTACATTTTCATTTATTTTTATAGTACAATTTGTTAAAATTATATTATATACAATTTTGTGATAAAATTGAAGTACACTACACTACAAATAAAAGATATGTATTGGCTTTGATGATTCGGTGAAGTATCTTTAACATTCATGGAAACTTTCCATTGTACAAAAGGTTCTTTATAGTGGAAAAAAGTTCTTTAGATTATTCAAATGTTCTTCACACTAAGAAAAAAATATTATTTTAACTGTTCACTGCAAAGTTTCTTTGGTGAACCCAAATGGTTCTTCTATGGCATCATTCTGAAAACTCCCTTTTGGAACCTTTATTCTTAAAGACTGTGGATTTAAATCTGCTTTATAGATTGCGATCTGATGTGGATTCTCTTGAATGCACATGAGACTCAGTGGCATTGATATATACCCTGTTAAATCTGTTCATCTAAAACTCATCTTACTTTTTTGTTCTCATCTTGCAGTATTGTGCTGCCCTCACTAGGAGGCCTATTGTAATTGCAATAGTCTGTACTGTAATTTATGATCTCCATTTCCATTTGGCTTTTAATTTTAGGGGGTGAAATTTTCCACACATCTCCAAAAGATGTCCCACACCCATTACTTTTGTGCAGTTTCTCCAGTCTTCAGCTTCTGAATGTCCACAGTACTACTGTGCACTATATGTTATATCAATCCCAGAGCTCATTGTCAGTGTCAATCAACAGCAGCTGATTGTTTTAACAGTACAAACTGTGCATAGCTTGCTAGCTTCTTCATCAGGATGAAGATCTGAACTTCTAAATTAGTTAATCAGGTCTGTTCTTATGTGTAAATGTACGTGCATGTAAATGTGTGTGTTGAGTGGCCACGTGGTAATCCTTGAATCAAGGTGTCTATGTCAGACTTTCCACCTTGGTGCTGCGTGTGTCTGTCTAGAGCAGCACAGATGGAGCCAGGGATGGGATTAAGGACGATTTTCCCTGATTTAATGAACTACTATGGCTCAGAAATGTAAGGGATAAACCTGGGCACACAGAGACAGTTGCTGAGCGTAGCACATCAGAGAGCCGCCACACATCGGCACGCTGCTTTCATGAGCAGGCGACGCATGTCCTACTTACACTCCTTCCAAAGTCCCAGGCCGGGACGAAGGGGAAGATTGAGCTTTTACCACTAAAAAGATTAAAGGTTGACAAAGTGCAAAACAAATCTGGCAGACAGAAACAAGTACAATACTGTTTTTGGATAATAATATGATTGAATAAGACAAGTCTGTGAAGTGAATTTTGTTCATTTAAATATCCAAGGAAAGTTTTAAATACACTTTTTTCTCATCTTAATTACATATTTATGTTTTATATATTGTACAGTTTTTGAGGTCGGTAATATTTTTAAATGTTTTTAAAAGAAGTTTCTTATGCTTACTGACTGCATTTTTTATAAAAAATTTATTTATTTGTATAGATTTTATTTTAGATTACTTGTTATTTTTATTATTATTATTTATAATTTATTAATGAATGAATGATGCATTTATATAGCGCTTTATTGGCTCCTCAACCACCTCCAGTGTGTGCAGCATCCACTTGGATGATGCGACGGCAGCCACAGGACAACGGCGCCAGTGCGCTCACCACACACCAGCTACAGGTGGAGAGGAGAGAGAGTCATAGAGCCAATCAAGTGGATGGGGATTATTAGGAGGCCATGATTGACAAAGGCCAGGGGGGCAATTTGGCCAGGACACCGGGGTTACACCCCTACTCTTTACGAGAAAAGAGTTTTTAATGACCACAGAGAGTAAGGACCTCGATTTAACGTCTCATCCGAAAGACAGTGCTTTTTGACAGTATAGTGTCCCCGTCACTACACTAGGACGTTAGGACCCACACAGACTACAGGGTGAGCGCCACCTGTTGGCCTCACTAACACCTCTTCCAAATATTAACAATTAATATCTAGAGGAATATTATAATAAATATAATAATGCAGAAATTAAATTAGCTAATTTCAGTTGAGTACTAATGATATTATTATTTATAGTAAGAATAAAAATTATTTTGGTAATGAGATCTTGTGCTAATGTATAGCTCCCCCTGTGAGGTGAATAAGAATAAATTATGAGGAATGTGGTTGTGTTTTAGATCAGCTTCCCATCAGATTCTTTAATCTGGGAGGTTTATCTTTCTGTGAGAATATGAATGAAGGCAGTTCAACAGTGAAAGCGCTTGTCAAAGGAGCCGTAGGTTACATCATCTTTAAGTCCAGCTGAGCTTGACTTGTTTCACGTGAGCCAGTGGAATGCGTCACAAGATTGAGATTGATTTGTTGGAGGATTACTAGTCCAGATCCACAACAGAAATTAAAAAATGGAGAGATGGGCGCAGTCTCATGAGCAATAACAAAGCAGCTTGAGAGCAGCAAGAAGTCAGCGTCTTTACGTCACAGGCGGATTCAGTTTAAAGCTGAAAGTAAAGGGAATATAGCAGCAGTGCAGCGCAGCAGTGCAGCACAGCAGCTCAGCTCAGCAGAACTCCACCACCACGTCTATCTCTGTGAGGGAACCACCGCCAAACTGGCTGACCAGGACAGTTGGGAATGCTGGGATCAGTTGATCCACCTCCAGCTGAGCAGCTCAGGAGACTTCCTGCCCTGTGAGTGATCCCTGACAGAGGGTGTACTTAAATTAGTCTCCTCAGGGTATCAGTTAGCATGTTTCCTTCAGTGGAAGCTTTCTATGCAAGCAATAGATTTTTTTCCCTTATAAGCAAGTTAACTTTGTTTTATACTTAGTTATATATATATATATATATATATATATATATTCAGTTTTCTTGCACTTTGTTGGCAACTATATTGGCAATTCATTCTGACCTCTTCTTGTTTTTATGCTTATTAAGGACCACATTAAATACTTTAATTACATCAACTAGTTTTTGAGAAGTACTTTGTACTAAATCCATCAAATGAAAGCATACAACATCTACATGTTTGGATAGTTGTTCCTACTGTAAGACTGCATTGTCCCCACAGCACTGCTGAAAGAAATGCCTTGTGGATCACCTTATCCATTTTTTAGTACATGATTTTTGGGATCCGAAGGGGTGTGTGTGTGTGTGTGTGTGTGTGTGGATGGATTAGGAGTTTTGCGTTTGTAGGATTATGATTTTTGGTCAATGTACAATTTAATGATGTCACCTAAAAGTCAAGCCCTCTGAACTCCAGGATAAGTGCCATCACTGGCTGTTTCACTGCTGTCACAGGTGATTCTCAGCGGGTCGAGATGCCACGGAAAGACATGGAGGTAGTCATGGGACAAATGGTTGTTCTGGAGGCCTGGTACACCCCCACTACCTCCATCGAGAAGAACGCTGTCATCTGGACCTTCATGGCAAATCACTCCAAACAAGTGAGTATATTTGGGATTAGCACAATAAAATGATTAGCACACTGAATATTTGAACAAAAATGATATAGTATTATAATAATATTATATATATGTTTTCAAATGTATACTATGTATATGTATATATATATATATATATGTATTTGATTAATAATAATTTATTAAATTTATATGTATTTAACCCAAACTCTTGATGGCAATTTTTGTTAAATATAAGTCAAAGGCCATGTTATATAGAGGTAATTTATGATTAATTATTAAATGCATATAAATATTCATACCAAATATTCATACCAAAATCTTAATGTTTAATTGTGAAATGGGTCCATGTTATATATAATGAATTTATTATCAATAATTAATTATATATATATCTTTAACTCAAAATATTGATATTCAATTTTAAAATAAGTCCAAGTTATATATGTCTTAAGTCCTGTTAATAAAATTAAATTAAATGTATATACATTTAAACCAAAATCTTGATGTTGAATTTTAAAATAATCCATGTTATGTAGGGATAATTTATTAATAATAATTCATTACATTTTACATTTTAATAAGTCCATGTTATATATAGGTCCAATGTAATATATAAGTAATTTATTCATAATTAAGTTTATATATTTTAACCCATAATCTTGATGTTATGTTTTTAAATACAGTAAGTCCATGATATATATATATCCATGTTATATATAATTAATTTACTAGCAATAATTAAATGTGTATGTATTATATTTAACCCATAATCTTGATGTTGATTTTAGACGTCTACATTATATAAGTCCAGGTTATATATAAATGTAATAATAATTAATTAAATTGATATATATTTTAATTCAATCTTACATTTTTAAATTTTAAATTCATCTTAATGTTGAATATAAAATAAGTCCATTTTATTTGTCAACTATCCATTTCCTGTCCTCCTTTGCTGTCATTTTGAAAAAAAGGGATGGATTACATGGTAGAACAATCTGTTGTCCTCCATCAGCAGACTAATAAATGACATGAACCTGACATGTCAGACCCAGCTCCACTCTGCATCCTCTCAACAGATGGCTTTCACTTTAATGTCACAGGAAGAGTATGGAACACTTGAAAGGTCAAAGACCGCTTATGAAAATACACGTGATGAATTTGATGGATGGGCGAGAAGTGGATTTACTCAAGCCGTTATCGCTGAGGGTTTTAGATGGAGATGTAAATGTCAGCTAATACACAGGCGTGATAATGTGTATACCGTATGTGCGAGCTAGCTATCACATTCAACCTACGCATGTGTATGAATGGTATTTGTGCTGCTTATCATAGTCTGTAGTTTCACCAGTTTCCCTTTGCCTGCTAGATTATCATAAATAAATGGAAAATTGGAGCCTAAAATTGGAACTTGACCATCTGCACTTACTGTACATCTGAGGATTATCTTTAGCATGACATTTTACCTCCATCATTATCATTGGCCATTTTCTCAGCAGTCCCACAAGCCTCTAATTTTAATGCGCTTGACCATATGATATCTACAGGTCCAACAACCTACTAGCCTATTAGTTTATTTTTCATATTTTTATCTTTTTTCTTAGCATGTTTCTTGAGCATCAGTGTATTAGAATGATTTCTAAAGGATCAGTAATGATGCTGAAAATTCCGCTTTTCCATCACAGGAATAAATTGGATTTTGAAATATACTCACATAGAAAACTCACATAGTTGTAATAATAATATTTTAACTATATTTTACCAATATACCCTTGGTGAGTGGAAGAGACATTAAAAACATTTAAAATCTTACTGACCCCAAACTTTTCAACAGTGGTGTACATGGATTTTTTTTTTTAATCATGCTTTTTCTTTCAATATCTTACATGATAATTTTTAAAGATGTTTCTTAAGATGAAAGTTTTCAAAATGTGCCTCAAGACCCTTTTTGAAACCCCATTCCATTGAACGGGGTTGTCTGAGTGGTTCAGAGAAACAGTTTGCAAATGTGTAGTACTGTGCATACCTAGTTGTGTCTTAAGGTCTCTCTGTGTACTTTTGACTGCAGGTCATCTCCTACTTCTCAGGACAGATTGGCATCGGTAGCACTGACTTTCGGAGGCGAGTGGGTTTTGCTATGTCAATGCCCTCTGCCAATCTGTCCATCTATATCAACAACACGCAGGAGTCTGACTCCGGGCGCTATCACTGCCACGTGATCATTCCTGGAGCTCCAGGCCTGTCTGGGGAAGTACACCTCAATGTTAAAGGTACATTGGCAAAATATTAACATATTTGGGGCATTTAAGTGTCTGTGTCATGATTTCTTTCTCTGTTTGTTCTAGTTCCTCCATCCACGCCTGTATGCACTATGACAGGAAACCCTGTACTGAGTGGCAATGTAACATTGAGCTGTAAATCCAGCTATGGCAAACCTGTTCCTCAGTACAAATGGACCAAAGCAGCTCCACTTTCTGAGGTCTTCTTCTCTCCCATGCAAAGTGAGTTTCCTGCATCTGTATGTTTGCCATTGTTTGATTGTCTTTCTTTATCTGAGAAAAATTCAGGAGCTTCTGTGGATGCATTAAAAATATTTTTTTAATTATTATACATTTATATTATTATTATATTATTATACATTATTATACATTATTGTACCGAAAGGTACAGTGTGACAATTTTGTTTAATTTGCTTTATGTGTTGATATATATTGACTGGTTAAAATGTGGTTAAATTAGATGGAACAATACAATTCAAAAGTTATGGATCTGTGAGATTTTTAAATGTTACTGTATACTGTAAAACAGTGATATTGTGATATATTATTACAATTTAAGATAAATGTTTTATATATTTTTTTTAAAAGTTTTTTTTAAACAAACCTGTCTACAGAATTAACACTGATAAACAATGTTAACTCAAGATCATCCTGTCATCAACAATTATTTGCTATGCTGCATTGAAATAATTTATCAACAGTTTCTTTCTTTTTTAATTGCTTTCACATGTAGCACAAAATAACTAGATATAAAAGGAATTAGAATATGATTATAGAGTTATAATGTCTATGTGTAGACCAACCTGCAAGGCTAATTTACGATTCGTTCCCCCAGGAATTTCCTTTGTGAATTCGTCAATTTATATGCTGCAAAAATTGGCCAACTGACTTGACTGTTGCTACTTGTTAATGACTTTAAACCATACAACAGTTTTAAAATTCATGTTGTTTTACTGTAATTTATGTTGTAGTCTCTTCAAGTAAAGTCAACCACAGTGCTTATTTTGGTCATACTGTAAATCAAAAAAGGCTATTTTAAAAACCCATTAAAAATTCTAAGGGGACCCAATTGTCCAAAAAATGCTGTATGTTTTAAGACTTAAAACTGAACAGCTCTATTGATAAATTTGACTAAAGCAGAAAAAAATAAATACACTACCAGTATGATTGTTTTTTAATAAATGGTTTTATACCGCAAGAAAAATGTATCACAGTTTCCACGCAAATATAATGCAGCACAACTGTTTTCAACAGCAAATCAGCAAATTTTCTTGAGCATATTAGAATGATTTCTGAAGGATCATGTGATACTGAAGACTGGAGTAATGATGCTGAAAATTCAGCTTTGCCATCACAGGAATAAATTATGTTTTTAAATATATACAAAAATAGTCATTTTAAATAGTAATAATATTTCCCAATATTACAGTATAAAAAAAAAATTTTCTTCAAAAATCATACAGATCCCAAACTTTTGAACGGGGGTCTATGACTGTGTTAAATAGGTTTTATCTTTGTTTTTATTGTTGTATCATTTTGAGGAGCTGTTTTTCTCTGTGCGTGATCTGTTTATTATCTCGATGAGATTGGTTAGATGCTGTGTAGAGATGAAGAGCACAGGCATCATTTATCACTGATTTAGCGTGTCTCCCTCGCTTTGGCCTGAGGTGAGGTGGAAATAGCTCTGTTACCCTCAGAGCAGCCAGAGAAACACATTCCCATCAGCCTCTAAACACGACAGTTTTGACCTTGACTGAGTGCCAGGAACATCTTACAACCAGTGCCGGGTCATCCAACAGGCGGTCACCTAGGGCCCTGCCTTAAGGGGAGGGCCCCGTGGTCACGATGTTGTCAGTTGAATTTCTTGGTGTGTTCGACTTGAAGTGGCGCTACGCAGACCGATCAGTGTATGACATCAAAGTACCGCGAGAGCTATAGAGAGCCGCAAGTCCCGCATGCTTTCGAATCCATCTGTGCGCACTGCACAGCGCCACTTCAAGCCGACCACACCTTTAGACTACGTATCTACAGATGACGCACCAGGGCTCTACAGTGCAGCACATATTTTGTCTGTGCGATTAATACATTTACCACAATAGCATTTGTGCATGGGTTTTGCATGTGTATGATCCTATTTACAAACCTGTTGTCCAACAAAGAGAACATTTTAATTACATGTTTTTACTGCAAATTCATTTCATAACATCAGTCGAGTGTTTGAAATAACGTCCTTTTGTGATCTGACATGGTTTCAAATAACAGAATGAGGCAAAATCATTATTTTATATTCTATAGAGTGATAAAGGCTATGTTGAGCATTGCATTATAAATATAGTTCATTCATAAATACCCGACATGGCTTGAAGAACAGAGATAAACTATTTAGTCGCAATCGTATGTTTATTGTCTTAATGTTTGCTCAGTTAAAACGTCTCTATCTGCATTTTATTCCACTACAGCAATAGCATATGGCTTTGTCCATATTAGGGATTTCCTGGAACGTCATATGACTTCTATGAGTTCTATGAGTTTTACTGCACACAGGCACTATCCGGCTACCAGTATGAATGAAACAGACGTTGCATTACATTTGTGCACTCGCTCACCACACCTTATTTTGCATAAAAATAGGAAAAATAATACTTCTGCTTCTCTCTAAGTTTTTCTCCAGTGTAGACGAGTTTCTTTTTCTCTCTTAGTGGATGCATAAGATTTCCTGACAAAAATTAGATTTTTAATCATAATTTATTTTATAATAAATCCTTAGACCTTGCTAAACATTTATAGTTATATACCCCCTGTATGTTAACAGGTCATGCTGCAGTTTCCTGTAAAATATATTGATAATCATTATCAATAATTATTATTTTGTTTAATGTTTTTATTCAGTAATAACAATGATCAGAATTATTAGTAGTCATAATGATATATAAAAACAACCTTTTTGGGCAAATTGTGCTGCCCTACAAACAGGGACAACAAACTCTGTGTTCTTAATCATTTTTGGTAATAAAGAAAAAGTTTGTCTGAAAACATTTCTTGTTACAGTTCAGATTTTGTGTGCAGATTGTTTTGTTAAGGTTCAGATTTGGGAATTCACTAGATATTGCCTCTCAGAATAGTCTCTCATAACGTCATGAAGTCTTGTTTTACATCAATGCTATTTTTAATTCATTTGAAATGAAAGAATGATAGAGAGATTAAAGTGAAGTTGTGGTAGAATTAGAATCCAAACGGTATCTTTCGGGAGCCGAAAAAAGGATGTTCTGACTGCTATAAATAATATTTATCGCTGTAGTATTAGTACTTGTTTTAATAAATGCATGACAACTGTTCTGTCATGACAACTCTCGGAGGGATTGGCATGGTAATGTACATGACAATGTTAATGTATTAGGTCTTGGCGGAATAGATCTGCTACACTGCTGTTGCTGCGGCAGAGCAAGTACCGAGACTTGCTACTGCCAATACATCCACAACATGCTGCTGTGAGCATGTAAGAAATATTGCTGCTGCAAATATACATGAAATAACCCCCATATAGCATACATGAATCACCTTGTAGCAGATCTATACAGGTGGAGCTGGGGAAGGTGGAGGGTTTCTGAAGAGAGAACCAATCAGCTGTGCCATGTGATAATGATGTCAATAGATCAGATTGAGTTATACCTATCGGACTGCGCCATCTAGAGTTTCATGCCAGAACTCTGTATTGACGCCCATGATTACAGACAGACTTGTCATATGAGGGAAAATTGAGCCACATTCAGCATGTTACGTTAAATAATTACAGACATGGCTCCAGAATCAAATCACTGAGGTTGCTTCTGAAATTAGTGAGGGTGATCTAAACTTAATATTAAATATATAGGCCTAACCATACATTTTTGTGCCGTTCATTGCTATGGCGCCAAGAGTGCTCCTTATAATCACTAAAAAGCTGTCACTCATTTTAGTTCATCAGGATCTCACCAAGTTATATTTAATGAAGTTCTCTACACAGCACAATGAATCTCTTATTTACATTGCCTCTCACTTTGTTATAATGAGATGATTTGCGAGTATGCAGAACTCAACACTGAACAAAAACTCTGGCGTGTTGAGTGTGGATTCTAATTTAAACACTTCTGACTGGCCACTGTGTTCATGAAATCAACAGATATGTATGTGATTGGCCACATTGCTCAATGCTGCAAAAATACGTTGTAAATAGAAACCTTTAGCGCTCCACAGAGCACAAACACAAGTACGCAATGGAGTGTTTGCCAATATCCTATTCTGTTACAGCTATATCCTATTACAGCTTGAACTGAGGGTGCTCAGCACCTGCTAGTACCACCGTAGGACCGGGCCTGATTTTATCTATCCCACTCATTCTCCTTGCCAATAATACAGGTCTCTCCCTCTGTCAAAATTTAGATTTAATCCACCATCCAATGTCTAATGCAATATTTTTTTTTGTGATCATCAATCAGATCTTAAAAACAAGCAGAATAGCCTGTATTTCTAGTCATTTGTGCATATTTCTATGTTTATTTTGCTTATTCTCTGTTTATTTTATTTAGTTTTCATGTAGAATTAATTTATATTTTAGTTTATTTATTTGTTTCATGAATATCTGTTTACTCAAGGTCACGTGCACTCCTATTTTGTAATCTGTTTTAAATCTGTTTACATATGTATGTTGAATGTGTTACACTTAATACAGATTTACGCTTAAATATTGAAATTGTCATTTTAGGTGCTTTCTATTCACTTGTCAAATTGCTATGACACTTTTTACCCTAGTGGGGCCCATTTTCATTATCTTGCCTATAGGGTCCCATAACCCTACAGGCTGGCACTGCTTAGAACATTTCTACTGGCATGTTCTCTTAAGTCCATATCAAATGATAAGGAAAGCATGACACATTACAGTAACTAAAATAGAAAATGTGCATTAGTATCCAATGCATTTTTCCCAAATATATCATGACGATTTCTGTTGATATGTTCGTTCTGATCAGCATAAATCTTTAGTTGAAATACACGGCTGTGCCAGCTGTTCAGTAAAGCTGGCTTATACTTATCAACCATGCAGCAAATTTCCTCCTTGATCCCAGGCACGTGGGTCTCCCAGTTTTTCTCCTGAGGAGAGACCTGAGGGAGATAAGGTGTTCAGTAAATCTCCCCTCAAACAAACGTATCGTGTTCTCCTGGTCATATGTCTTCCTCTTACCCTCTCTCTCTGTCACTCTCATCTGCGTATTCACAGAGTGGAGGTCCTGCCCCCAGCCTGTGCTTGTGCTGGGATACCTTGGTAAGGGAATAGACCCTAGGATAGAGAGAACTCCTTTAGATAGACTCTTGAGAGCCACAGTAAATGTGCGGTTCACTCTTACAGTGTTGATTAGTTTATTCCTCAACCCTTGTTTTCTTGTACATGTATTGAGTACAGGAATGATAAATCTAATTGTACTACCATTTAAAAGTTTGAGGTCAGTAAGATTTTTTTTAAAGACATAAATACTTTTATTCAGCAATGATGCATTAATTTGATCAAAAGTGACATTCATCAAATAAATGCTGTTTGTTTGAACTTTCTATTCATCAGTCCTAAAAAATGTATTATGATTTCAGCAAAAATATTAAGCAGCACAACGGTTTTCTACATTGTTAATAATAAGAAATATTTCTTGAGCAGCAAATCAGAATATTAGAATGATTTCTGAAGAATCACGTGACACTAAATACTGGAATAATGATGCTAAAAATTCAGCTTTGCCATCACAGGAATAAATTACATTTTAAAATATTTTCAAATAGAAAACATTTATTTTAAATTGTAATAACATTTCACAGTTTTACTGTTTTTACTGTATTTTTGAGCAAACAAATGCAGCATTTAAAAAAAATTTTTTTTTACTGACCCCAAACTTTTGAATGGATGCATAATTGTTTTTTAAAGCTACACTCAGTATTTTTAAAGGAAGTTTTACACATAAAGTAAGAAACGTTTAAAAATCTGTAAGCCTTTGTAATGGGACATTTTTACTTGAAGAATAAATGAATAAATGGCTGACTGTGAATACGATGCTGTTAGGTGTTAGTCTTTAAAGATAATCTTTGTAGCATCATTGTTAAAATATGGTACGATATGAATACAAAGAAATATGTTTGAAATGTGGCCTGGCAGGGTTTGAATCTGGCAAGGGTTATTTTCTGATCCCGCCACCACCTTGTTTTTCATATCATTCCCCGTCTCCTCCAGTCAAGACAGTGGTGGATCATCATTCTGTGAAAAACATGCAACGTATATACACTATTTTGAGTCCCACAGCACCTCTAACCTTCAAAGAGTGAGGTTTACCAACCACACAAAATCTCTGTCAACAAAAAAATGCAAAAAGAATAAAAACAATAAAAAAGCTTAAAGCTTGATAAGCATTTTTAGCAATCAGCCATTTGTATCAGTGTGTGTCAGTGAGATTAGAGTCATTCAATATCCCAAGCATATCAGTCTAAAAGCATATTAAATATCATCCTACCCCTTTCATCTTTTTTGTTCCATCCCATTGTTGAAATTATGAATCGTGTGATGCTGTACTATTTGTGAGTCTTATTAGAGAGCTAAAATCAGTCCTGTATCTCGTAGTTTATTCAATGTAGAAGCAACTCAAAGTGAAGCAGCCATCAAAACATGGTTTTTATAAACATACCATTGAAGTGTTGATTTTATGAAGCCAATAATTTTAAGTGACACTTCATTAGTATAAAAGTGCCTGTGAAATCTGTAAAGCCCAGACTGGGGTCCCTGGGCATCTGGCCTCGGCTCTGGGTCACTGAGGAATTTGAGTTTGACTGCTCATCACTGCAGGCCAATCAGTGTGTGGACAGAAGCTACAGCAGCAGATGGTCCGACTGCAATCTATGTCAACACTGTAATAATGGCAGTAATTTAATGTTTGTTCTTTATGGTTTTAATTTCTCATCCTTCTTGTCATGCATGTGAAAATAGGCATAGTATTGTCAACATAATTGTGGCCAGATCTTTAACACATATGTCATGACAAAGTGCTCTCATAAATAGGGATTTTCAAAGGGTTATACTCTTATTTACTGTCTATGTCATGATGTCATGTAAGGGAGCTTCTTCAAGTTTGTGCACTTTTATGGCAAAAGTGTTTTTTATTATTTTTATTGAAACTACAAGATAAGCTTTTTATTATATGAAGGTCACATAAAAACGATCACATAAAACACTTTTTATTATATCTTCATTTACCTTTGCTGTTTTTCAACTGCATTTTATGTACGAATTAGATTCTTTTTTTTCTTACACTTTCAATCTTAAAATATGAATGAACTTTCAATTTTCCACAAATTATGGCTGTCCCACAGTTATGGCATCATTTCCACAAAACCCAGATAATTTGCCCCTTTTTAATAACATTAGTGGGCTTGTTTGTTAAGGAGAAAACATTTGAAATGCTGTGGAAATCACACTGTGGTGGGCATTTTTTTATTATTTTCTCCTATGATGTATGTATGTAACACACTACTGTTCAAATGTTTGGGGACAGTAAGATTTTTTTAAATAAAAAAATTGACTTGATCACATAAAACACTTTTTATTATATCTTCATTTACCTTTGCTGTTTTTCAACTGCATTTTATGTACGAATTAGATTCTTTTTTTTTTACACAAAATATTTTTTTCAATCTTAAAATATGAATGAACTTTCAATTTTCCACAAATTATGGCTGTCCCACAGTTATGGCATCATTTCCACAAAACCCAGATAATTTGCCCCTTTTTAATAACATTAGTGGGCTTGTTTGTTAAGGAGAAAACATTTGAAATGCTGTGGAAATCACACTGTGGTGGGCATTTTTTATTATTTTCTCCTATGATGTATGTATGTAACACACTACTGTTCAAATGTTTGGGGACAGTAAGATTTTTTTAAATAAAAAAATTGACTTATTTAACAAAGGAACATTAAAGTCAATTTGACAATTACTGTAAAGACTGGAGTAATGGCTGCTGAAAATTCAGCTTTGCCATCACATGAATTAATTACATTTTAAAATATATCAAAATAGAAAACAGTTGTTTTAAATTGTAATAATATTTTACAACATTACTGTTTTTACTGTACAAATGCAGCCTTAGTGAATATAAAAAATCTTACTACTGGCCCCATACTTTTGAACGGTAGTGTATACTGTTTAACAATGCTGTGAACAAATTAAACTGGTGAGAGTGGGAAAGGTGTATTTTAAGGTGGGAGAAGTTTAATTTTTAAAAGTCCTCAGGACCTAAAGTGCCTGTAATTGAACAAACACCCATAAAAGTAGAATAAGCAGCCACATGCTACAATAGGTCACAACAGTTGAATGTGTCTTTTCAACTCTATTGAAAAGACACATTTGATGTTCAATTATGACGTTATGAATGTTTGATTCTATTTTAAGATGAGAGGCAAGGCACCCTTCGACTTAGCAACCTCACCAAAAGCATGTCTGGCAAGTATGTTTGCCGTGCCAGCAACATGGCTGGGACTGACAGCTGCCACATCAATCTAGAGGTCTCCACCCGTAAGTATCATTCAAAGATTGATGCAACATTTTATGTTGTAGATTTCGGCTTTCACTATATTTGTAACTGAATTGATCCTGTTGTGGCTGCAGCTAACAATGCCTGGGTGATCGCCGGGGCTACGGTGGGCTCTGTGGTGGGTCTGATGGCTCTGGTCTTATTCCTGATCTTTATTCTGAGGAGAAACCATGACACAGAGGAGGAGATTGCCAATGAGATCAAGTGAGCATGTGTCTTATATTTCTCATATTTTAATAGGATTAAAATAGGATTGTATTACAGTATCTGCTTTCTATTGCTTTAAGGGAAGATGCACAGGCCCCGAAACGCGTCTCCTGGGCTAAAAGCGGCACAGGATCGGACATCATATCAAAGAATGGCACATTGTCCTCCATAGCCACCAGCCCTCCTGCACAGGACCCTCAGCATCCACTCCAAAACAGCCATTACCCATTCCCTCCGGGTGCCTCGGACACCGCCTCCATCCTCACCACCTCCGGTAGCACAACCACATACCGCCTCCGCCCAGGGGAGCCCAACCCACTGCATGGCTTGCCCGGATACAACGGCAGCAGCACACTAAATCACACACACCGCCACCATCACCACCATCACACTCCCGCAGTCCTCAATCCCAACAGCTGCTCTACACACAGGACTGAGGGGCCGCAGCCGCAGACCCCACGCCCGCTCAACATGCCTATAAACACTGCCACCCTGGCCCGCAGGGGGGCCGTGCCCATTATGGTGCCCAACCAGAACCACGCCGGGTCACTGGTATAACGACCCTCAAGACAAATAATGTGCTAACGACTAGCCAAACGTACGTGGGGAAGGGTTTCGACAAATATGGCGATAAATGACAAATTTGGCAAACGTTTTATACAGATTAAAGTACAGTAAAAAATTGTTACATGTCAAAAATCACCTTTGATTTGTTTTCTAAAGTATTACATGTTTTTTAATGAGCTTAATCTGCGTTTTGATGCCTAAACACTCTAAGTTCTTTTTGTCATCTTTTCACTGACCGAGAACAGTATTTTGTCAGTGAGATATACATTATGATGGGATGCAGATGTCCACTTTTTGTAACAGTTGTGTTTATGGATTCAGATTTGTCCAGTTATTTAGACATTCAGTTAAATTTATGACAATAATCTTGAGTGTTCTTGTGCCTCTTGTGCCTCCGTTTCTCTCAGGAGTTTTCGCTTTTTCTGTCAAGCGGTTGACAGATTTCTGAAGCAGAGCAGGTTTTATTTCAAATGTAATATTTTCTGACCATTCAGACGAGTTAAGAAATTTAGAGAGAAAGGGGAAGACTGTAAAGTAGAAAATAAAATGAGAGCCTGTGAAAATGCTGTCTTATGATGTAGAGCATAAAACAAACAAATGCCAGTGTCTGCCATGCTCGTTTACTGGAGCAGGAAGGACTCTTAATTTGTAAAACATGTGATCATGTAAGTTACATGGAAGTGTCCATTTATTCATTTGCGTGTTCATGAAAATTTACGATAAACTAGCCTTGTGGTAAAATGACTTGAATATTGGAAGCAATGTTTTTTTTTAATAATAGTGTTAATGCTGAATGTTATTGTGAATATTCTGGTTGAATATATTGTTTACTCTGTAGTTAAGCCTTTTCCACTTATTTTGTTATTTTCAAATTAGCATTATATGGAATTGAAAGCATTATACATTAACTGTCTACATGATGGAAGCAGAGATGTAAGAAATGGTTTCAAAGTGGAAAATGCCTCAGTGAGGTTCAAGTGTTTAAGTGGTGGTGCTTGTTTTGATTACTTACCATAATGTTCTGCTTATTAAACCAATGCAAAATTGTAAAAATGCATTGTAAAACATTTTTTTAAAGAGTTAAACTAGCACATCTCTTTAATGTGGCATTTGATTGACCCGCATTAAACAAATTTTATTAACAACAAGTATATTAAATATCAGAACCAGACACTTTATTTTTGCTGCCACATTTGTCTTTTTTATCAGCTTACTTCGTCTACAGGAGTTCTCAGTTTGAGATCCCGGACGAGCCCCCGATTTCTACTATGGCCATAACAGAAATACAGTTTTTTCTTGTTGGTATCATGAGAACCAAAATTGTTTTTAAAGTAAGTATAAAATTAATATTCAGAATAATATTGGTTGGCATAGAAGGCTATTGAATGGCCAACTTTTTCATGGATGTTTTTGATTAAACATTTTATTTATCCTATATAAAACAATTGTAGAAATAGTTTGAACATTACAAAAGCCAGATGTTAAGTCCCACGGGGGGAAAAAATAGATTTTGGCTGAAGTTGGCATTTGAATTGATATTAAGTTACTCTTCTAGGCCACATGTCTTTCAAACATGGTCTTCTGATAAAAATTATTAGAAAATACACTGAATAATCACTTTGTTATTGATGCAGGCTATTTGGCAGTCTGCCACTCTTACAAGGTAGACCAATGTAACCACATAATGAGGAACAGAGAACAGAGGGAACAGAGTTAGGGAGTTTTGGGGAGAGTACTCCTACAATAAGATTAGAGGTTAAAAACCATATAAAAGTGTGAGTTGGTCATTTGTTCTGCAGGCATCTCGGCTTTGTGGTTTCTTTCAATAAAGTCTTATTTTGTCTTCTGGAGCTCCGAACTCCGAATATTTTTGCAAGACTTTCTCCACTACATTTATTTTAAACAATTTGAAAGAAAAAGGTGCTCTAGTGAAGAACAATAAGAAGTGTTTATTCACACCTGCCTCCACTTTTTGCAAGCACATTCTGGACGTTGTGCTTTCTGTTAGTCAGAGCCGACCATTTATGATCTGTTCTTTATCTCAGTGCAAGGACAACTAAATATTAGATGCATAATGGCATATGGTCACATTGTCCTCACATTACATTTTAAAATATATCAAAATAGAAAACAGTTGTTTTAAATTGTAATAATATTTTACAACATTACTGTTTTTACTGTACAAATGCAGCCTTAGTGAATATAAAAAATCTTACTACTGGCCCCATACTTTTGAACGGTAGTGTATACTGTTTAACAATGCTGTGAACAAATTAAACTGGTGAGAGTGGGAAAGGTGTATTTTAAGGTGGGAGAAGTTTAATTTTTAAAAGTCCTCAGGACCTAAAGTGCCTGTAATTGAACAAACACCCATAAAAGTAGAATAAGCAATTACATTTTAAAATATATCAAAATAGAAAACAGTTGTTTTAAATTGTAATAATATTTTACAACATTACTGTTTTTACTGTACAAATGCAGCCTTAGTGAATATAAAAAATCTTACTACTGGCCCCATACTTTTGAACGGTAGTGTATACTGTTTAACAATGCTGTGAACAAATTAAACTGGTGAGAGTGGGAAAGGTGTATTTTAAGGTGGGAGAAGTTTAATTTTTAAAAGTCCTCAGGACCTAAAGTGCCTGTAATTGAACAAACACCCATAAAAGTAGAATAAGCAGCCACATGCTACAATAGGTCACAACAGTTGAATGTGTCTTTTCAACTCTATTGAAAAGACACATTTGATGTTCAATTATGACGTTATGAATGTTTGATTCTATTTTAAGATGAGAGGCAAGGCACCCTTCGACTTAGCAACCTCACCAAAAGCATGTCTGGCAAGTATGTTTGCCGTGCCAGCAACATGGCTGGGACTGACAGCTGCCACATCAATCTAGAGGTCTCCACCCGTAAGTATCATTCAAAGATTGATGCAACATTTTATGTTGTAGATTTCGGCTTTCACTATATTTGTAACTGAATTGATCCTGTTGTGGCTGCAGCTAACAATGCCTGGGTGATCGCCGGGGCTACGGTGGGCTCTGTGGTGGGTCTGATGGCTCTGGTCTTATTCCTGATCTTTATTCTGAGGAGAAACCATGACACAGAGGAGGAGATTGCCAATGAGATCAAGTGAGCATGTGTCTTATATTTCTCATATTTTAATAGGATTAAAATAGGATTGTATTACAGTATCTGCTTTCTATTGCTTTAAGGGAAGATGCACAGGCCCCGAAACGCGTCTCCTGGGCTAAAAGCGGCACAGGATCGGACATCATATCAAAGAATGGCACATTGTCCTCCATAGCCACCAGCCCTCCTGCACAGGACCCTCAGCATCCACTCCAAAACAGCCATTACCCATTCCCTCCGGGTGCCTCGGACACCGCCTCCATCCTCACCACCTCCGGTAGCACAACCACATACCGCCTCCGCCCAGGGGAGCCCAACCCACTGCATGGCTTGCCCGGATACAACGGCAGCAGCACACTAAATCACACACACCGCCACCATCACCACCATCACACTCCCGCAGTCCTCAATCCCAACAGCTGCTCTACACACAGGACTGAGGGGCCGCAGCCGCAGACCCCACGCCCGCTCAACATGCCTATAAACACTGCCACCCTGTCCCGCATGGGGGCCGTGCCCATTATGGTGCCCAACCAGAACCACGCCGGGTCACTGGTATAACGACCCTCAAGACAAATAATGTGCTAACGGCTAGCCAAACGTACGTGGGGAAGGGTTTCGACAAATATGGCGATAAATGACAAATTTGGCAAACGTTTTATACAGATTAAAGTACAGTAAAAAATTGTTACATGTCAAAAATCACCTTTGATTTGTTTTCTAAAGTATTACATTTTTTTGTATGAGCTTAATTTGATGCCTAAACACTCTGTGAAGTTCTTCTCATCATCTTTTCAAACCGTTACACTGACCGAGAACAGTATTTTTTCATTTATTTTGTCAGTTTTACAGTGTGTTATACATTTTGATGGGATGCAGATGTCCACTTTTTGTAACAGTTGTGTTTATGGATTCAGATTGGTCCAGTTATTTAGACATTCAGTTAAATTTATGACAATAACCTTTAGCATCAGCTGTTCTTGTGCCTCTTGTGCCTCCGTTTCTCTCAGGAGTTTTCCGTTTTCCTGTCAAGCAGTTGACAGATTTCTGAAACAGAGCAGGTTTTATTTCAAATGTAACATTTTCTGATCATTCAGAGGATATTGAGGGATGACTGTAAAGAAGAAAATAAAATGAAAGCCCATGAAAATGCTGTCTTAAAATGTCTTATGATGTAGAGTGTAAAAGAAAGAAATGCCAGTATGCTTATTTACTTGAGCAGGAAGGACTCTTCATTGGTAAAACATTTGATTATGAAAGTTACATGGAAGTGTCCATTTGTTCATTCATGTGTTCATGATGTACGAAAAACTAGCCTTGTTGTTTAATGACTTGAATATTGACAGCAATGTTTTATCATTTTTGATATTAGTGTTAATGCTGAATGTTATTGTGAATATTCAGGTTGAAGATATTGTTTACTCTGTAACTAGGACTTTTCCACTCATTTTGTTATTTTCAAATTGCCATTATATGGAATTGAAAGCATACAGTAACTGTCCACATGATGGAAGCAGAGAAGTAAGAAACAGGCTCAAAGTGGAAAATGTCTCAGTGAGGTTCAAGTGGTGGTACTTGTTTTAATCGCTTACCATAATGTTCTGCTTATTAAACCAGTACAAAATTGCATTGTAAAACATTGTTCAAACATTTTTAAAGAGTACAGCTAGCACAACTCTTCAATGTGGCATTTGATTAGCCCTGCATTAAACAAACTTTATTAACAACCAGTATCTTAAATATTAGAACCAGACACTTTATTTTGGTTACCATATTTTTCTTTTTTAACTTACTTTGTAACTTACTTTTTTTAACTTACTTTTGAGGTCTTGGGTTGTGATCCCGGACGAGCCCCCGATTTCTGTTATGGCCATAACAGAAATACAGTTTTTTTTTCTTGATAATATCACATGAACCTAAATTGCTTTAGAAGTAAATATCAAATTAATATATATTATGAGAATAATATTGGTTGTCTTAGAAGACGACTGTTGAATTTGCAACTTTTGTTGCAAGTGTGGTTTTTCAAACAATTTTTAAGAAAAAGCTGCTTTAGTGAAGAACAATAAGTAGTGTTTAGCCACACCTGCCTCCCCTTTTTGCAAGCACATTCTGGACATTGTTGTGCTTTCTGTTAGTTAGAGCTGACCAGTTATGAGCTGTTCCTTATCTCAGTGCAAGGACAACAAATAATTAAAAGCATAATGGTATATGGTCACACTGTCCTCACAACATGCATTTTGTTCCAGTACTTTGGTGAGTAATTCCTTCACCCTTTTTATTATATATATTTTTACACTACTGTTCAAAAGTTTGGGTTCAACAAGATTTTTTAAAATGCTCACCAAGGCTGCAGTTATTTCATCAAAAAGTAAAAGGGTAATATTATGAAATATTATTACACTTTAAAATAACTGTTTTCTGTTTTAATATATTTGAAAATGTAGTTTATTCCTGTGATGACAAAGCTGAATTTTCAGCAGTCATTACTCCAGTCTTAGTGTCACATGATCCTTCAGAAATCACAGATTTTTCCTTTTATGAAAGTTTAAAATAATTTATTTAAAAATATAAATCTTTTGTAACATTCTAAATGCCTTTACTGTCACAAGGTATAGAGATGTTCTCTTTGTACAGATGTAGTAAGGTCATGGCAGGCAGTTGTGGTAAAGCCCTCAGTGTTTGTCCGGTCGGGGTCGTCGACTGAGCTGACCTGCACGTATAACACACACGCCTCAGAGGGCTTCACCCTGAAGTGGCGTTACGCAGCTCCAGGAACTCCTGCCGTCCAAGCCAAGAGGGTGAGAACTGCTGTATTCAGATTCAGTCACAATAAACCACCAGATCTGCCGACCTCAATGTCCCGTTTGACACAGGTGCTGTACTTCAATGGAAGGCTGTACTGGGTGAACTCTTGGGAGGGTAGGATGGCTCTCGTGCAGAACCCTCCAGTGTCAGGCATCGCTTCTGTCAGGATCATCAGTGCCGAAACATCTGATACTGGGATGTATATATGTGAGGTCACCAACCCGAACGACTGGTCTGGCAGTGGACAAGGTCTGATCAACCTCACTGTGCTAGGTAAGCTGGCCTATATATCATGGGTTTTCAACAGAACCTAAATATAAAAAAAAATAAAATATATATATATATATATATATATATATATTATCTGGAAATATTGTCTTTGTTATTATTTTTTTTGGTCACACTTTAGTTTGTGGATCAATTCTCACCATTAACTACGAATTTTGCCTCAATAAACTCCTATTTTGCTGCTTATTAGTAAGTATTTGTTAAGTTTAAATATGCGGACTAAAGGATCTAAAATATGGTCATGCAGAATAACGCGTTAAACAGCAAATATGCTAGTAATATGCGTGCTAGTTAATAGTGAGAATTGGTCCCTAAACTAAAGTGTTACACTAAAAAAGTGTTTTTTATTCAAATAAAAATGTATTATTAATATTTATTAAAATATGTATTCAGCTTTCTGTCAATATTTTTAATTAGCTTTTATTTTTATCATTTCATATTTACTTTAAGTTTTATTATGTGCTTTTATCATTTTTAAAAATGTTTACATTTCTAATTAGATTTTTAAGTTTAATTTTAGTACTTTTAGTAACATTTCTAATTTTCATTTTTAATCTAATCTAATATTTATCATTTTAATTCAGCTCTATTTCAATTAACAAAAAATATTTTTAATAGTTTTAGTTAACAGTGCTTGGAGAAACATACTGTATTTCAATAATTAATTGTGATTAATTTAATTATTGTCTATAGAAATCATATGTGTGTGTGTGTACTGAACTACTAATCCAGTTATAGATGGTGCTGTGTGTTTACATATTGTTCTCTCCGTCATCAGTTCCTCCGTCTGTGCCAGTATGTCAGCTGCAGGGAAACCCCTACATGGGGAATGATGTGACTCTGAGTTGTCATTCCTCTCAGGGTCTCCCCACACCAATCTATTCATGGCACAGAGAGCAGAACGCAGCCCCTCTGCCGCCAGACAGTTTTATTGAAGGTAGGAAACAATTATTCTGGCACCTGAAAATAGGGCGTAGATGACACAGACAGCACGGATTTGCTTACTCAACAATTATATAAGATTTTATAAAGAGCTAAACGGGATAATATATAAACACTAAGCATTAACTTACTAATGATTTCAATAAAATTACTAATGATTAATGTAATAGTTAATCCAATAATGAAAATATACTTGCTCTCAGGCCATCCAAGACGTAGATGAATTTGTTTCTTCATCAGAAAGATTTGGAGAAATGTAGCATTACATCACTTGTTCACCAAAGCATCCTCTGCAGTGAATGGGTGCCGTCAGAAGGAGAGTCCAAGTAGCTGATGAACACAATGATCCACACGACTCCAATCCATTAACATCTTGTGAAGTGAAAAGCTGTGTGTTTGTAATAAATAAATCCATCAAAACGTGTTATAGTAATGAATAATTATTTAAATTTTTGTTTCATTCTTTTGTGGATAAAAATAAATATTCATAATAAAATAAATATTCATTTAACTATATATCATTTGCAGTCAGTAAATTGTCCATATATATCACCATTAGTCATCAGCCACCCTGCCATCTAGATATCAACCTTTAAAAAAATCCCCTATTAGACAATAACTAAAAAAACGCGTCTCATTTGTGCTTCAGATCAGCGCACCGGTTCTCTGATGTTGCACAACCTGTCTGATGCCTTTGCTGGTACCTACACATGTAAAGCGTCCAATGAACTCGGTCAGGCAGTGTGCAGCGTAACCCTCAGAATGACCTGTGAGTACAACACACACACACACACACACACACACATCACTGAATATTAAAATCATTTGACATGGTGTTCTGTTGTTAGATGGAGGAACCGCAGCTGTGATTGGCGGAGTGTTGATGGGAATCTTTCTCGTTCTGCTGTTGATTGGGGTAATGGTCATCTTAGTCACCTGGAGCAGGAAGAAGCACATCCAGAAAACATATGCAAATGAGCATAGGTGTGTATTTAAACCACTGTAAACTAGATGTGATGTTCAGCATTTTTATTCTTTATGTTTTGTACAAGTCAGGTGAAAAACAATTCAGCACTTCAACAGCAGAGCGGAGGGAACCTACAACCCATTCAGTCGGGTACTGAAGACCAATCGGACTTCAAAGTGTCTCACTTTAGTCCAGTTGTTTAGCCTCCTCAGATGCTTCTTTTGCATCTGTCTCTGCTGGTTTAATCTCTGAGCCTACAATAAATACACACTTTTAACATACCTAGAAGCGTACCTTTGTACTCATTTCATTCAGTACTACTATAATGTTGGATTAAAGAAATTAAAGGGGTCATATGATGCAATTTCAATTTTTCCTTTCTCTTTGGAGTGTTACAAGCTGTTTGTGCATAGATAAGATCCCTAAAGTTGCAAAGACTAAAGTCTCAAACCCAAAGAGATATGCTTTATAAAAGTTAAGACTGGTCCACACTCTACTAAAACGCTTCGTTTAAACACCTACGTCACGATGTGGGAAGATTTGCATAACGCTGCCCAAATGTTCACGCAAAGAAAGAAGGCGTAACTTTTATTCTTGCTGTAGTATTGTTGCTGCCGCCGCCATGTCGTGGAGAAGCTGTGTTTCCTTGTGAAAGCGAAACTACTTTGTTTGGCCTTCCAAAAGAGGACACAACTAGAAATCAGTGGTTAAGTTGTATTTACAACACTGTTCCAGAACACTTCAACCCAAATATTCAAATGTGGGCAGCACATTTTATGGAGGACTGTTTCCTGGACCTGCAGAGTAGCCTACAATGCTTCTGTGCTCAAAGGGTGTTTGTATAAAGTGGGGCAGTTACAACTTTGCAAGGACAATCTGGCACTTCTGACTCACAGCCTGTAAGTACGTTTTTTATATTTAAAGAATTTGCCAGACGATTCAAACGTGAGTTTTGGGCAGTGTAGAGTAGCGCTTGTTGTTTGTCATTTCTCCGATCACAAATGCAGACATGGTTTTATGTTTACTTGGTGCGATGCAACGCAACGCGTAAAAAGACAGTACAGGTCATTATAATCAGTAATTATGTCCCCACTGGATGCAACAAATGCCTCGTTTGTAATGGGTTTTATTGGTGTTGTCTCGTTGCGCCGGGACATGGCATCACAATATGATGAGGGGCGTAACATTTCCGTCACATGCTTGAGGTATTCAGCCAATCACAACGCACTAGATAGCTGGCCAATCAGAGCACACCTCGCTTTTCAGACCGATGAGCTTTGTAAAAAGACGCGTTTCAGAAAGGCGGGGCATAGAGGAGAAACAATAATGTATAGTATGTGGAAAATAATGTGTTTTTTGAACCTTAAACCACATAAACACATTGCGTTACACCAAATACACAACATAATGGTTTTTTTAGCAACATCATATGACCCCTTTAAGACTTTTGTAGTATAATATAGCGTTGTGATTCTTATCTACTTAGAGAACATTATAAATGCATGTTGACAAGACATACAAAAACAGAGTTTTCCGGTGAAACCCAAAAAGACTTTGTGGAAAGTTTCATCAGTTTTTTTTATTTTATTTCACAGGGTGCACAACAGTTCAAGTCACAAGTCATTTTAAAAACAACATTAGGATCAGATTTATACACACTCTATAATGAGGACAAACAATGTAAAGCCACACTTGAACTGATTGGACTTTCTGTGCTTTGAAATCGATCTCACAAAGACAAGCTGTCTGTGATAAAAAAGTAAATACTAAATATTGAATTAATCCGATATCTATATGTACACAATTTTTAGATTTGGGGATTTATAAGCCTTAATTATATAATTTCAACTAAACTAGTGTTTCAGTAACTTTTGTAAATGCTTCATTTTAATGTTGTAGCCAGTGTTTCTCTTTACATAACGTTTTGTAACCTGCCAGTATTCTGTCCCTAAACAGAAATAATGTTATTTTTTAGCAACGTCATATGACCCCTTTAAATATTTTTTACGCCGTTAAACTGAAAAATAATCGCATGCGTTAACACACTAATTTTGACAGCACTAAAATATAATAATAAATATTAAATATTATTACTTTAAGAAATATTATAACTATTACAGCTTTTATTTTTTATAAGACAAAAAATCATTACCCTCCAATATCTGATGTACTCTAATGTCTCTGACGTACTGCTGCACTGCATAGTCCTTTAGGTAACCATAACCTCCATATATCTGTAAAGCCTGGTTACATATCTGAAAGAGATGATCACAAAAACCTTGATGTGTTTATGTAACAACATCAAAGAGGTCATCACAATCCAACAGAGCAATGTGTATATACACTTACTGAAAAACATTCATCTGTCACAAAGAGTTTGGCCATTGAGCAGAGCGAGACCGCGTCTGGTCGCCCCTCCTGCAGAGCCACCGCCGCCTGACGCACCAGCAGCCGAGAAGCTACCAGCTTAGTGGCCATCTCAGCCAGCTTAAACTGCAGGAACTGAACAGACATCAATAATGACTTCCTATTTCCTATGGACATTCAACAGAAACCTATTAGAAAGATCGGTGATAGACAATTCAGCTGGTACCTGGCTGTTTGATAGTGTTTCTCCAAACTGTTTCCGCACACACATGTGATCTCGGGCCAGAAGCACAGATGCGTGTGCTGCTCCAAGAGAGCAAGAAGCTGTGGGGACAAAAGAACTAGCATTAACTCCTGTGCTAAAATTCCTTTACCTAATTTGGTGTTCCCGGCCTTGTAAAAATTGCTTGTAAATCTCTCATTATGCTATATTATCACCAAATATTAGATTCAATCTTTTTTTGTCAACTTGCTTTCTTTTAATTAACACAGTTTTTGTATTTCTTTATTTGGAACTGTTTGTAGGCCTCATTAATCTGATCTTATCCACTTAAATTTTTCAGTGAAAAAAAAGCATTATTTGTGGATAATTTTGGCAATGTTCACTCAGAAACGGAGGTGCATAAGCTTGGCTCAGATCAATAAGACCTATGATCAATAAGTGATGAAAAGAAAAATACAAAACCTATGCTTACTGAAATAAAACGAGTTGATAAAAAGATTGAATCCAATATTTGGTCATATTATAGCATAAACAACTATTTTTGTAGGCTGGTAATTTTTTTCATGGGAACACCACAAATCAAACAAAGAGGAGGGGGGAAAAAAAACATCAAATTTTGGGGGGGGAAGTTGTTCAACCCTGTGTGAGCAAGTCAGTAAGTCTTAATCCAGTCCTCTCTGGGTTAAAATGACCAGAACACAAATCCGTCAAAATAAATAGGTTATCAAAAAGGTTTCAAATCAAAGTTATGAAACAATTCACCAATATTAATTCTGCCTCCATTTAGGCCTTTCATGGCAATGATGAAGCCCTCCCCCTCTGCTCCAAGCAGATTAGTCACTGGGACAGCGCAGTCCTCAAATATCACGGCTCGGGTTGGCTGCGAATTCCAACCTACCTGAAAGATGTTGGTACGCTGGTTATAAATCACAGCAGTGAAAACATAACTCAATCCTGTCACCTGCTGGACAATCTTTACCGATCTTTTAAAAAAATGGCACTCCAATGTGTTCCTGTCCTAAATAAATACCCTTATACCGAAGATGTTCATTACCTTCTTCTCTTTTTTGCCAAAGCTGAGTCCCGGGGTCCCTTTTTCAACCACCAGGCAGGAGATGCCCTTAGGTCCCTTCCCACCTGTCCTGCACATGACCACATAAACATCTGTGTCTCCACCTCCACTGATGAACGCCTGACCAGAAACATCAAAAACGGTTGGGAAGCTGCATGGAGATTTTTGTCAATGTCTCAATCATTTCTCAAGGTACCTTGGAGCCATTCAGAATATAATGATCTCCTTGGAGTTTCGCGCTGGTTAGAAGCGAAGCGGCATCACTCCCGCTACCTGTGGTTAGGGAATAAAAAAATTATTAAAACACAAACTGTAAGTGTAAAATTACAATATGTTGTCAAAATATTAAATGCTCTCTCTCTCTCTCTCTCTCTATATATCTCAACACACGTTTAGTAATTACGTTTCTGTCATTTTTACTAGTTTTTTTTTTCTATTTTTCTATTATTTAGAATTAAATACTTTTAGTTAGTGAAAACAACACCTATGTATCCCAAAAAGGAACAGAAAAATGTGATCTTGAACTTACCAGGTTCTGTGAGACAGTACGAGGCAAACTTCTGCATAGCGCACAGATCAGGACAGAATTTCTCCCTCTGCTCATTGTTTCCAAATGTGTCTATCATCCAGGCACACATGCTGTTTCAAACACAATCAGTAACCACCATGTAAAACCTAATTAACCATGAAGAACGAAAACTATATGCCAGCACATGTACCACTTTATGTAAAAAATATATTTAGTCCAACCTTATGTATTATTATGATGCAGCAACAACTTTAAAGTATTAATAGTAAGCTAATAGGGATATTTATAAGGCGTAGAGATGGCTCACTTGTGAATACTGATGTATGCGGTAGTGCTGACACAGCCTGTGGATAAAGCCTCAAATATGATAGAGGTGTCCAGACGAGAGAGTCCCGACCCCCCAACATCAGGGTTCACATAAATCCCACCAAACCCCAGCTGGGCGGCTTTCCTCATGGCCTCCACCGGGAACATTTCCTACCAGTGAAGATATTAATGGTGCTCAACTTTGGTAAATGTTTCAGAATGAAATATAAACAATAAGCAATTTTGTCAGATGTTCACATTACCTTTTGGTCCCATTCTGCCATATGTGGTGCCATCTCGTTGGCAGCAAAGTCAAATGCCACCTTCTGAAACTCTTTCTGTTCATCTGTGAGTCCTATAGAGGCTGTGGAAATATATGTAGAAATGTATATATGTGTGTGTATTATATATACTAATATATATTAACATTACTTTATAGTGATTACTGTATTTATTAGCAGCAGCATCTGTAGTAATGAGATTCACGACCAAGGAGGATCAAAGGAAACGGCGTCTGATATCAGCCAATCAACTGCACTCCACACACACCCCCAAATATGATTGGTTGAGCTCATTAAAGTCCAACCAGTAACGTTTGAAGAAGCACGAACCTGCTTAAAGCTACGTTATTAAAATGTAAGATTGTATGATTCAATATAATAAACAACGTGTGTTTGGAAATTTTACAAGTTAATTCATTAAACTGTCAACTTGGAAACTCCAGGAACACTGGCGTTTCACGAAGCGTTATATCGACTGCACAACGGAGTTTACTAAACAAAAAATGTAGATTAAAATGACATTTATGTATAACTCAAATACAATTCAAATTAAAAACGGACTCCTTTTTACCAATGGCACCAAACTTTCAATGTGTGACATGGTCTGAGTCTGACTACATTTCCTCAGAAATTATATATTTAAACTCATACATTTGCACCAAAAAGCATATTATCGAATATGCGATTACATTCATTAAAGTCTACATTAGATCTACACTAACTTTATTGAAACATACATTCACTCTAGTATTCCTGAGTGACTGACTGCTTGTCGTTATTTCTCAAACAACGTTATTATTATCACCACGGTCTTTAAAAAATTTGACTTACGATCAACGCAAGCTGCTATTCCTCGTCTCTACACACTGCTAAATATGAAACTGCGACTTCTACCGATGCTATATGAACCCAATCGGACACCTCTTGCGAGTGCCCTAGCCGCCGCCATGTTGATTTAGTGACGCGTTCAAGCACCGCGGTGATTATGGGTAATGTAGTTCTTCACAGTCTGGACTTGACAACAGGTACCCACATATGAATCATGTATGCGCAGCTTTAGCTATTTTTTTCATACCACATGAATATATTGAATTTAAGTTGCAAGCAGTTTTAATAATTATAAACGATCTTATTTTTTTATATACCCCACATTCTGTGGTTGGGTTTTAAATAAAAGCAGACTAAATCCAGTTATGATCCTCCAGACCGCATGCGATCTGCCTGGGCGCTGTTTTATCACGAGGGCTTGCAGAAACATTTCCTCGCATTTCCAGTGAAACATGCCACCCAAGAAAAGAACACGAAGCAAATCCACTAGACATGGTAAGTAAACTGTGTAATATAAGGGTTGCGTCGTTTTTCAGGTTTATGCGAAACAAGTCATCACTTTGAATAATGAATTGCTTCTTGTTTTTGCTGATGCAGACGCCCAGCTCTGTGAGGGGTCTGATGATGTTGCACAACTCAAAACTGGCAAAAGAAACAGGTCGGCAGCAGTAACAAGTGATGTGGAGAAAAATAAAAATGATGACGCAATCAAATCATCTTACAGCCACTGGCTCATGAAGTCTGAACCTGAGAGTCGGATTGAAAATGGAGTGGACGTGAAGGTAACCCCTTGTGAGTGTGTGTGTGTGTGTGTCCAGGGTTTTGTTTTGGTTTTGTTTGTCTGTTTGATTGCAAAAGTTTAACTTCAGCAAAAATACAACATCACAGAGAACTACAACAAGTGGGGTATGGAAACCTATTTACACTGCATGAAAAAAAACATGCTTCCATAACTCAAAATCATGACATGAAAAGTCACACTTATGACTCTGTAAAGCAGCTTTGACACAATCAGTATCGTGTAAAGCGCTATGTAAATAAAGGTGACTTGACTTGACAAAATGGCAGCTTTTTAACTCGACTTAGTATGTCCTAATTTAAACTTTTTCATCTCATTATTACTTATATATATCATAATTATGAATTAGTGTCTCATATTCCTGACATTTTATGTCATAATTATACCGGTAACTCATTTTGATGTCAATTATGATTTAGTACCTCATAATTTTGACACTTATCTCATAATTATGACTTAGTATCTCATATTTTCGATTTTTTTTTATGTGATGGAAACTTACTTCCATATGAGAAAAAAGTTCAATAATGCAGGATCATTTTTATTGAAGGAGATGTTTAAATGTTGTTACTAGGTGAAGGTAAACCTAATTATCCTGATTAATATCTTAAATGTAAAATTATGCTATATTATGTAATATGACACTATTTTGTCGTCCTCCAACTGCAGTTTGGAATTGAGGACCTAAAAGCCCTTCCCAGTCAGACTGGATGCTGGGATGGAGTGAGGAATTATCAGGTAGACTATAGCCCCTTTCACACAGTAATACCAACAGATTGCCGTAAAATTACAGTAAGTACTAACTTTACCGGTAAATACAAAAAAGCTCTGTTAACACAGGCAATGACGTTCTGTCTTTTTACCGGTAAAGCACCATTCACACATCAGTTTCAACATACTTTGGACATTTCTTTGACTTCCATAAACAGTGCAGAGTAAATGCGTCATCTGCGTCAGAATGGTATGATTGGGCCAGAATAGACGTCTTACGTCAGCGCATTCTGAACTCGTACAAGCTCATACCGGTAATCTCATCTGTGCTCACACAGAGCACATTATCGGTAATTTACTGGCAATGTTACAACTTCTCATACCACTGAATTTTCAGAACGGATTTACCGGTCCTGTTCACACATGATCTCTTACGGTAATTTACCAGTAAAGACTGTATGTGTGAAAGGGGCTTATGATGATTCGTTATGTTTATTAAGAAGCACATGCAGAACATTCACTTATACTGACACTTGAGACTTTTCTCCTCAGGCACGTAATTTCATGAGAGATATGAAGGTGGGCCAGCAGGCTTTCTTTTACCACAGTAACTGCAAAGAGCCAGGTATCGCAGGCCTCATGAAGGTGAGGAGTCTGTACAGAAGAAGCTTAACCCCTTAACATTTTTACCACATGCATAACAATAGTGAGAATGATTTTCATTACTTTTGCAGATCGTAAAGGAGGCTTATGTGGACCATACACAATTTGACAAGAAGGACGTGCATTATGATCCCTCCAGCAAAGCAGACAACCCTAAATGGAGTATGGTGTGTGTTTACACAGACCACAAAAAGATTCATAAAGATAACTTTCTATTTTTGCCATCAGAACTGACCGCAGATTCACTCTGTATAGGTGGATGTTCAGTTTGAAAGGATGACCAAGCGTTTCATCCCTCTGACTGAGCTGAAGAAATATCACTTGCAGCACAAAGCTAAAGGTGGACCCTTAAAAGATATGGCCCTCTTCACCAGGGCCAGACTATCAGTTCAGCCCCTTACTTCAGGTTAGTCGTATTCAATACACATGTAAAAAAATATATTCTCATTTTCATGTACTGTAGTGTAGCATTATTTAAAATGTGATTATAAATGTAAAATGTATTTATTCTTTAAAAATAACAATAATGTTAAATGTTGTTTTTGTTTTAGCTAAAATAAAAATAATTTCTATTATTAGATTTTATAATTAATTAAAATTATTTTTAAATATCAAAATTAAGTCCTGATATTCAGCTGTATGGATTTTTTTTTTTTTTAAATAATACTTTATTTTTTCTTGTCTTCAGAGGAGTTTGACTTTGTCCTGAGTTTGGAGAATGAAGATCCAATATGAAAATCACCATAAAAGCCTGTTTCATCTCATCCTATTATGATTCTCTCTCACTTTAAATGTTATATAGTCAGTCTTTTCTTTATGTAATCTATACTCATGTAAACTTGAAATAATGATATTAAAACATTTGAATGTTTTTGTTAATAAAATATTTGTTTGTGCTTCTGTCTCCATCATACCACTTAAAGTTGCTGTATGTAGGATTGACACCGAGTGGTTGAACTAGGTATTGCAGTTCAAATTCAAAATATTGGAGAGGGTTTTTTTCACCCGGCCCCGCCTCCTCAGACTTGACGCACACTCAGGTTGCCAGATTGACGACACAACAGGAACGAGCGCACTTGACGATGAATGAAATGAAATACGCTGTGTTTTCCGCCAACTGGCAACCCGGGGTGCCGAAATACAATTGGGTAAACTGGTAGTGGGCGGGTTTCACAAACCAAAACAGACCGGCACATTTTCAAAGGAGAAGAACTTGACTAGCATTGTTTTTCAGATAAACAAGTATGTTAACTTAGCATGTTTCTTAAATATATGCAAACATATTATGGTATTTGTATGCTTTAGTAGAGTCAAAAACTTACATACAGCACCTTTAATAATACCAGATTTCTCTATAGCCACGAGAAGTCAGTTATCACAGGTTATTTTCATTTTGAGGAAAAAAGGAAATCATCATGAATGCAGAGGTTAGTACATTTTATTACAATAGGGCTGATTAAATGAGCCTTTTGCAGAAGTTTTCACGGTTGCATGTCTGTTAAATAGTCATACCTCATTGAACAGCCAATAAGCTATTAAACAAATATTTAGTATAATACAATGACATACACATGTAAGAATTCACCTTAAAAATGAGTAGCAAACAATCACAAAAAGGATTTTCTGTGTTGCAGCATTTAACTGCACTCTTGAGAATCCTGGAACCTTGTGTTGCGGATGATTCTGCTGATTCTTATCAATAGGAAATAAACACTTAAGACACCAGATCAAAAGAAGAAAAAAGTCGATAATAAAAATATGAATGAAAAGTTAGTAGTTCCCTTATTAGGCATTTCTGTGCAGGCCTTCATTTGTAATACCCTAAATGATAGAATAATACTGTGCAGAGCTCTATGGAGAGTACATGAAGTGCTACATTTATAACACAAAACATCACAGTAAATCTCATTTTGGGCTCATTAAACAGGACAGAGTACAGAAGCTAGATTCTGACTTTTCAGTGTACTAGACTTAAGCAAAATTTGAGCTTAACAAGAGGAATGTATTGAGGCTTACAACTTCATGAAGCACAAATCAAACCAATAGGATGAAAACAGCGGCGTACACAAAAAGATTGTTTCTAGCATTTCAAAACTGTTGGTCACTATTATAATAATGGAAATGTACGCAGTATTGGAAAGAGGAATAAAAAAATATTTTGTAATCTATACACATTTAAGTAGTTGGGCTGCCTTTTACAAGCTCGATTCTCATTTTTGATCTCAAGAAGCGATGATTTCCATTTTTCGGCAAAAATCACTTGCCACATTGATCCCTTCGAGACTTATAAAACATTATTTTGATGTAACAAGGTTCATTAGAGATGTTGAAGGAACATAAAGCGTCTTGAATCTAGTTACTCTCCTCTTTGGCTTGTGCTGATGCAGTTTCAGAGTTTGATCCCTCAAATCTCTGGGCAGCAATGCTGGCTTGTTGGGACATACTCCTCCTCACAATATCTCCTTTCCTCCAGAGTGTGATCTCCTGTTGAGAATGAACAGCAGTGTATTTTACTCAGACTTCAAGACGGAGGGAAGTAATATGTTACATTATACGTGGAATACCGGACCTGTTGTTTGAAGTATCGTCGCTCTTCTTCATCTATAAGGACTAGGTTCAGGTAGTAACGCACAGAGAACTTCTTGTTGATGTCCCTCATGGTGGGCGTCAACTCGTATCCAGCGAGAAACAAGCGAATGGGGATCGACTCGCCTGAAAAGAATACGGGAGCAAAACTATAACAGTGTATATGAAAATAATGCATTTCTGAAAATGTTTAAAAGCCACAAAAGATAAATATGTTCAGTGGAGACTAATGTAATATCATAATATAATGCAGATGAAAGGTTTAGCTTTACCTTTCACCGGGGCCCCATCCATGATCTCATATTTGGCAATGGTGTCATTTTCATGGTACACACTGGGTCCAGTTCCAGTCGTTTCCCGTTTTATTATATTAATTTCCATGTGTTTAATCTTTATCCTCACAAGAAGGAAGTATATCTTTCCTACGATAACATCCCTCAGATGGTATCTAAACAGGACACAAGAAATTATATTATGTATAAAAAATATCCCATTTTAGGACTATTTTTGCACTGTGACATTTAACAAAATATATATAATTATATATTTTGTTTGCAATTTTATTAAGCACATTTTACGAGCATGTATTTATATATCTATCTATATATACACACACACATCTCTGTACAAAATAACAAGCAAGTAATTATTTTAACAAGTAATTATAAAAATATACCATAGTGCTGTCAAACGATTAATCACGATTAATCGTATCCAAAATAAAAGTTTTTGTTTACATAATATGTGCGTACTGTGTATATTATTATGTATGTATATATAAAGACACACACATACAGCATATATTGTGAAAATATTTACATGTATATTTATATTCATATAAAGTATATCATATATAAATATATTTAATACATGCATGTGTGTGTGTGTATTTATATATACATAATAAATATACACAGTACACACACATATATTATGTAAATAATAATAATAATAATCGCATTAAAATACAATAAAATACATTTAAAAAAATAATTATTATTATGATCGTAAAATGTGATTACTTTCATGGCACATTATAAAATATGATAATTAAAATATATAATTATGAAAAGCTATGTATACTAGGGGTGGAACAGTTCGCGGAAAAAAATCGAACCGTACAGTTTTCCACACACGGTTCGGCACGCGCTAGGACCGCGGTTCAACTTAAATCTGACAACGCATCTGTAATATGGTTTGCTATAAATAACACGTAAAACAAACAGGGTTCGGCTAATATATGTTTCTGTTGATGAATGCGCATTCTGGCTTCCCAATACATTACAACAACAGCGGAGAAAAAAAAAACGAGGACAAACCATTCCCTCTTGTTAAATGCGAATGCCGTATGCTGGAATATGAGCATTTATTCCGTCATCACCCGGGTGCTGATGGCACGCGCGCACAGGTGAAACCTGAACAGCACACGTTTATATCTGTGTTTAAACTAAACTCTTTAAGCTTTGCCAGTTTAAACATTTATGAGTCAGAGGATAAATCCTCAGAGCTCATGCGCGCAGTGAGAAGATTTGAGCGTGCGCTCATCTGAAGCGTGCAAATATGAAGCTTTCTCTGAAGTATTGTGTTTAAATGGACAAATTCACACAAAAATTGTGTCAAAATGCCCGTCTTGGTAAGTATCCTATAGCAGACATAGCCGGCTGAACGTACTGTATCAGTGCACTGGATCAGCACATTCTCTTAAAGTGACAGCACTTTCTTAATATTAATCAAACAGCAACAACAAAGAAATCACTCACTGCTCTTGATTGAATAGCTTTTGTCACTTTAATAAAGATTCATCTTTCATTTATACAGTCAAATATGCAATACTGTTTTACATTCCATTACTTTATCAATTTATGTACCCGAAAACTAACGTTAGACGTTAGACCTACCTAGAAAAAACTGAAAACCACTGTTTATTCTATTTGTATCTTTACTCTATTGTATTTATTTGTGATGTTGCATGTAGTTAGATAGATTATTCTTATTTTTATTTGACAGTATAGTTTTTGCCTAAACATAGCACATACCGAACCAAAGAGTAAGAGAACCGTTCCACCCCTAATGTATACAGTATAACTTACTTTTATTTTTTGCGTTAATTGTGTCAAACATTTTTAACTCATATTTATGTGTCAGCATGCACACTCACTTGGATTTGTTGTATTCAAACTCAATATGGAGACAATCTTCAATTCCAACTTCCATCTTGATGGAGGAGTTGAGCTCTGGATATGAGCACAGCGTCTGCACGACAATATCCATCTCTTTACTGATATCATTCAGCCTTCTGCTGATTGTCGCTCGCAGAAGGTATCTAAACAGATCAGAATGGAGAAATTCAAGTACTTCCCAACAGGATATTTCACGCACTATACATACATGATTCATACCGACTTAATGCTGCCATATTCTTGTGTATGACAGTATATCCCATAATGTTCTGTGCTTACTGTCTGAGACTAACCCCATGACCACAGCAGTTCTAAATGGTTTTTTAGATTGACCTTAGTTTGACATTCTGGCCAGTGTAGGATTCATAGGGCTTTTCCACATGGGTGAACTCAAAGTCAAAGGTCTGGGACTGTGAAAGCTCCCCAGGTCGAGCAAGATCCTTCACCAACGACACAAACTCATGGTGGTTCCCTCTGTCATAGTAAAGATCTGTGAACCACAAGACATGTTTTTATACATAAGCACCGTTTCTAAACGTCCATTGCCAGACGGATAAACTCACCAATCTGTCCGACAAACTCGATTTTGATGCCATAGTGCTCCAGCCTCTTTCCAGGAGTCTTGAGAGTCACGTTAACTTTCCCACTTACGGTTTCACCGTCGTAGAAAAGGAAGTATTTGTCCTTTTTCCCATCCTCAGTTTTGTGCTCGGCTTTCTTCCTGGTGTCCCCGTCATTCAACACGATGTCGATCTCAGCGGTCTGTCCGAAGCCGAAGAAGCTCATGTCTGATGGAGGTGTGTCAGTGTCACTGCTGTTCGAGCATAGAGCACCTGATTGACCGCTACAGCTGCTGCTGCTCCTGCTGCGCTCAGCTGAACGTTACAGGTGGCCGTGCGATTCTCTGGCGCTCTGGTAAGTTACCTTTTACCAAGTGGCCTTCAAAAACAAGCGCATACGCTATTTGATTGTTTAATATCCGCGATTAAATGGAAATATCAATATACTACGTCTTATTTCTGTCTGGTTTAATTAAAGTAGCTCCATTTACAGCAGGACAGCAGTCAGGAAGGATATTTGCCCATAAAATAACTCCCGCATTTCCTGGATCTTCCTGCAGGTGTACTTTCAAAATAAAAGTCCCAGTTTATTTAATAATAAAATGGCGCTTTTCCACTGCATGGTACGGCTCGGTACTTTTTTGGGGGGTTTTCCATTGGGTACAGTACCTGGTACTTTTTTTAGTACCACCGCGGTTGGGGTTCCAAGTGAACCGTACCGTTACCAAACCGTGACGTCTAAAGTCTGCTGATCACGGATTGGCTGGAGAGAATCGTCTCTACCTGCGTCACTGAACTTGCGACACAAACACAAAAGAACCGCTAGATTTAAATCAGCACAGCCAGCGAAGGATCGAACGCAACTGTTTTGAACGAGCGCACCTTTTTTTTAACAACCAAAAAGTTTTGTTGTCTTTTGCGGAAGTACAGACGTTCCTCTCGTTGATAGCAGAGGAGCGGATCCAGCGAGAGCTTGATGGGGCGATGCGGAATGAAAACGTCTTTTTTAGGAGTCGTGGTAGTAGAGGCGGCGCAGCTATAACAACATGTGAATAATCCCGCCCACTCTAAAGCGGTACTGAACTGCAGTGGAAACGCAAACCGTGCCGAGCCGAGCTGTACCGTACCGAGCCAAGCTGTACCGTACCGTACCGAGTCGAAAAGCGCCAAAAGTCTTTCTATTGCAGTTCTGAGATTGGGAAACAATAACGATGTGCTTATTTAATAGAAGTATTTCTTTATTATTAAATGACAATGATAAAAGAAAACCAATTACATGACCACATTAATTGTTTACATACATGGTCACGTCCTTTGACTGTACCTGAGAATATTATAATCCAAGCATTATATAATGGATTAATTATTGATAGTACAATAGTGTAGTGGCATTAAGAATCGAACATCTTGGTGGTAATGCTATTCAGATGGCATTTCATCTCTAATAATGTGTTTTGATTTCACATCACACAAACCACACATTACAGATAATACAGAAATAACGGGACAACAGTTTAACATGTGACAATTTTTCTTATAATAACATACACTGCAAAAAAAATCTTAATCAATATTTTTTATCTTAATTCTTTAGCTTGTTTTACAGTAAAACATAGGCTATCTACACAGGTACGTGTAAGACTTCAATTCTTTATTTTTCTTTCAAAAAAGAAATATTTTGCGCATAAAGGTCACTAAATTTAAACAATAACAAACATTTTGTCAAGAAAAAAATACAAATATTGATTAAGAAAATTATTATTATTTTGCAGTGTAACATTAAATATTAAGGATATACACTCAATATTTAACCATAGCTGGAATGTCAGGTCTTTCATTTTTATAGTATTTCTTATAGTATAAAGTCAAATACAGAATTGTTTGGAAAAAATGTGGCTGAGCTTCCCCAGCATTATTGAAAAAAAAAGTTCCAGGAGGAGGTTTTCGTCGCGATGCCATTGAGAAACTATTTTGGGTTCCCCAAAGAACCTTTCAGTAATCATTTCTCAAAATAACTATTTTCTTCTCAGTGTAAAAAAGAAAAATCTAAAGATGCCAATAAAGAACCTTTATCCTTTATTTTTAAGAGTGTGAGTTAATTATTGACTGCTTAAAGGGATAGTTCACCCAAAAATGAAAATGTGATGTTTATCTGCTTACCCCCAGGGCATCCAAGATGTAGGTGACTGTGTTTCTTCAGTAGAACACAAATGATGATTTTTAACTCCAGCCATTGCAGTCTATCAGTCGTATAATGCATGACAATGGTAACAAAATCTATGAGAGTAAAAAAACATGCACAGACAAATCAAAATTAAACCCTGCGGCTCGTGACGACACATTGATGTCCTAAGACACGAAACGATCGGTTTGTGCGAGAAACCGAACAGTATTTATATCATATTTGACCTCTAATACACCAATGTCCAACTGCTTTGAGCGCGCACGGCATCCGGTGCGTGAGGTGTGTACGCGCTCTGGTGTAGTTTACGTTAATGGGCGTGTGAATATCCAGCCGAAGAGCAATCAACCATAACTTCAGGCGAGCAGGCTCAGAAGTTGGGAATACGTGGAAAGTCACCACTCCCGAATGAGTTTGCGCGAGAGAACGTAATCTTTTAGTTTTAAGTCGGTTTGAACAATCCGGATAAGCGCAAGTAAGTACCATTTTGATTAGCTGTCGTACCTACAATGACTGTGCACTGTGTAAATAATAAATGAAGTATATGTGCGAGAGATCACTTCCGGTGCTTGCGTAAACTACGCCAAGAGCGCGTACACACCTCACGCATCGGAAGCCGTGCGCTCGCTCACAGCAGTTGGACATAGTGGTGTATTAGAGGTAAAAAATTATATAAATACTGTTCGGTTTCTCGCACAAACCGATCGTTTCGTGTCTTAGGACATCAATGTGTCATTAGGACAAAAATCTCCATTTGTGTTCTACTGAAGAAACAAAGTCACTTACATCTTGGATGCCCTGGTAAGCAGATATACATAAAATTTTCATTTTTGGGTGAACTATCCCTTTAACTACACTTATTAGATTCTGTCTACCCATTGCCTGGCACTCAATAGTATGAAAAGGTAAAAACTGTATAACATTGAGCCTTAAATAAAAATGTACAATAAAATGGTTTGCCAACAAACACTTTGAATAATTCGATTAGAGATACTTTCTTTATATTTGTTTACATATTGGAATATACTGGCCCCTGTCTGTTCTATTTTGTTCTGTTCTGTCAATTTGCTTAGGCATATCCATTAGATTTGCCCAATTCATGAAATTAGATTATTTTATTAAGTTCAGTTGTATGACATATATAGTACAATGATGGAACCCAGGCTCTCTTGTTCATTTGTTTTTCTGTCATACTGTTTTTAGACAGTGGGACATGCAATGAGGCATGACTAATATATTGTCAAATTATTAAAAAAGAAGCTAAAAGAAACTTATGAGTTTATTTCTTGTTCTTGTTTTCAAATTTCAAGATAATACCTCCGTTCCACTGCATTTATTTAAAAACAAAGTAAATTTGATGGTCCAATTACATATATAGCTACATGTTTTAAAAACAAAATGAAAGGATAGACTATGTTGATTGCTTCCACATAATCAGTTTTATTCTTGTGACACGGCCCACGGTCTATCTAACTACTACTCTGGAGTGAACTACAATATACGTAGATCTTATAAATAGATTAAAACAATAACACTGAGTCATAAAACCTGGACAATATGTCCAAAACGTATAAAACAATTATAAAGCATTGAAGGTCACTTAAACACAGAAATGGCACTCTGAAAAAAACCACAAGTGCGTAATCTGTATCTAGAGGAATATTTCAAAAAAGTAAATGAATCATCTTGCACAACCAAGTCGACTGACTTTACGGAGGTGTTTGATTAAATCTCAAACTAAAATGCTACAAATGTATAGTTCATGAACTAAATAACCACTGCTGAAACACTAACACATAAAATCCTCTTGTCAAAAGTGACCCAGATAAAACAGTCTTGGCATGGTATTGTACACATTTACACTGACAGGATTCTTCACATAGTCACACACACTATATTTCCAGTGGGAAATGTAATATTTGCCTTGAAGACATGTAAGTTCTTGCACTGGTATTATGTGTTGACTACTTTTGGGCAAAAATACAGCAGCACCTGGATGCAATTTCAGCCTTGCTACAATTTGAAGTCTGCAACTGACATTCAGAAATTCACAATTATTTGGAAAGACTTAAACTCATCTTTTATGTTACTTATTAAGTTCAATCCTTTTTGATTTGCTGAAACAATAATTTTTTACTTTACAAGATGCATGTAATAGCTATAAATCTGAGTATTGTTCAATTGAATGTAATTTTTACATATAAACAGTGGAGTTTTAAGTAAACCTGTGTTTGATTACTGTCTGTTAAAATCAAAATAAGGGGAGTAAAAATTCCCTGTTCGACACAGTAGCATTCGTTTTTGTTATAACTTTGGCAAGCCATGAAGCTCAAGATGCACCTCAGCGTAAAAAGCACAATTTGACAGTTCAAAAGTCAGCTCACAAGGCATTCACACGATTGAAGCGCTCGTCTCCTCTTCTTTGATTTTATATGACAAAGGAGGACTTGTGGCGGAAATGTCCCTGAGGAAAAACAGAGATAGGAAAAACTGTGAGCAATCAAATGATATGTAGTTAAAATGTGGCACTACAGAAGCAAAACTTAAATCCAGCCAAATATTTTTTCCATGTAGAGATTTTACTGAAAGATTATTTTGAGGATTGCACTAATACCACTTTGAGCTTTGCTAGCATTAATAAAAAGAAAATATCTGCAGTCAGAGAAAGGCTGCAGTGTAACCTGAGAAGATAAACACTAGCAAATCTCGGATGAAACTTCATCCATCCTTGTAAGAACATTTCAAGGTGTTGACTATAGCCTCTAAACGTGCACTAATACATGAAAATGATATCTGTGATGCTTTATCATGTCACAAATCCACAAAGCCTTACCTCATCTGGACTGGCATAGTCCATCCTATTGTCATGTTGGGGTACTTTGTAACTGTATGAAACAGAGCATTGTAATCTTACCAAAAGTGCATTAAATTCCAGATCAAATCAGATCAGCCCTTATGGTTATGCTGTAAGATTCATGTTGTGGTTATAGTTTTCACTCACTTGGTTTCCCTATGATCCTTGCAGGAACAGTAGCCACTTTTTTGAATCTGACAGATCCCCACAATGACTAATATAAATGCTGCCACTCCGCCTAACACCTTCAGGAATATGCCCACAATGTCCAGATCATCTAGAAAGAAATTATGTACAAATAAATAAATAGCTCAGCAAAAAATATATGAAAAATTCCATTATTTACTCACTCTTTGTTTATTTATATACTACCAGTGTGTGAATTATTACAATTTAGATTTTTTTTTATTTGACATTTCTGTGATGTCAAAGCTGAAATTTTCAGCATCATTACTCCAGTCTTCAGTGTCACCTGATCCTTCAGAAATCATTCTAATATTCTTGATTTAGTTCTAAAGAAACATTTGTTGTTATTAACAAAGAGTCCTGAAAAAAATATATTTGTGAATATATCTGAAAAATAACTGCATTTGGAACATCATGAAGGTGAATAAATAATTTCAATATTAAAAGCTGAATCATTATTTCAAAGTGCAGCTACTGACCAGCATATTTAAGGGCCACACTTACAAACTTCCATGGTCTGAGGACTGCATTTTGACCATCCTGCCTCATTCCTGGCCTGGCAATAGTATTCACCTGCATCCTCTTTCTTCACAGACCGGAATTTCTGTGGATCAGATGTAAATCATACACTTAGCAAAAGCCCAGTTAATGTTTAAAATGGTAAAATACAACATAATTGAAATAAATTTCAAAAACCCAATTTATTGGCCAAAAAAAAAAACAACAATACAAAAAAAATACATATAACTTAATCTAAACCTCAAATTTTTATTTTAAAAAATTAATTTAAATGTATTTATTACTTATTGTTTCTTATTCTTATTGTTTCATTTAAAGCCTAAGCCTTTGCAATTTTTTTCAATATTAAAATACTTCCTCTGTTCCAGTATTATGCTTTAATTAAATGTAAAATGTAAATGTAAAATAATCATTTACAGGCTGATTAATTAATTAATTTTATATTATTATTATTATTATTAGTGTAGTGATTATATTATTTGTGTAAACACAGCGAAACTAATAATTATTTTTGCAATTCCTTGCAAAACAATGGTGTCGCAGAATGTAATCCAAGCCTCTGATATTCTTCAAGAAACGACTCTTATTGTTTCATTTAAAGCCTAAGCCTTTGCAATTTTTTTCAATATTAAAATACTTCCTCTGTTCCAGTTTTATGCTTTAATTAAATGTAAAATGTAAATGTAAAATAATCATTTACAGGCTGATTAATTAATTAATTTTATATTATTATTATTATTATTAGTGTAGTGATTATATTATTTGTGTAAACACAGCGAAACTAATAATTATTTGTGCAATTCCTTGCAAAACAATGGTGTCGCAGAATGTAATCCAAGCCTCTGATATTCTTCAAGAAACGACTAAAAATACATCTGTTCCATATTTATTTGACCCTCTAACTCTAGCACTTTCTATTCTATTTTAATTCTACTTTATCTATTATCTTCTTTTTTATTAAAAAAAACTAACACTAGCTTTCTATTTTTTCTATTCTATCTGCTTGTTTTTCTTTGTGTGTGTGTGTGTGTATATATATATAAAATACCTTGCTACGTGTACTGCGTTAGGCTAAGCGAGACTTGTCATTTGCATTTACATATTGCTGCTCTATTGTTAGTTTTGATTGCTTCTATTGTCCTCATTTGTAAGTCGCTTTGAATAGAAGCGTCTGCTCAATGATTAAATGTAAATGTAAAAATGTAAATGATATTTAAAGAAAGTAAAAAATGTAAGCGTTTTTACTAGCATGACAGCACAAAAACAGCACAGCACACTTGCCAGCGAACCAGTCTCAGTGTTCATGGTGTATGAAGAATTGTAGAACTTGCTGCTGGTTTTCGGGTCTTCTGGCAGCTCCTCGTTGTTTTTGAACCACTGATACTGTGACTGTGGAAAGCCTTCGTTCTCAATACAGCGCAGTTCAGTGCTTGAACCCACTGTAACTGCGTCCGGCACACTACACCTGGGCATCACCGGCTTCACTGCAACACATCCACAACAAAACAGCAGCTTTTTTCAATGCAATCATAGATTTTTTTTTCTGCTATTGGAGCTATTAGTATATTATATTTATATTATATCCGTTCTGCTGCATGGCATTAAATTCCCTCACAGCTTCATGTCCCAAACAGTAAGATCGCAATTATAATCGGAGACATTTTTGTGCATCCAGAGGAATCACGTTGATCAGCTCAACGTATTCGTCCTGCACTCAAGCCCACTGAAACTATTCCAACAGTACCTCTTACAGCGAGACTGACTAGTATTTCATCAAAGGGCTTCTGGTCGTCGATGGCCGCCACCTCACAGCGATACTGAGCTGTGTCCGATCTGCTGGTGTTCAGGATCAGAAGGTTTGCAGGCTCTCTCAGCAAAGCCCTGTGCTCCAAGTCACCTGAGAACATAACGCAGCTTCAGCTGAATTTAGCTTAAACACTGTCATCAATTTAACAGCATTATGTGGTTCTGAGAGAAAGAACATGTTACCTGAAATTTTATTTTGGAAATACACATAGCTGGGTACACCATTTTTAATTTTTTTCCATTCAATTCTGGGATTGTTTGTAGAAATGGACTCTATCAAGCAGGTCAACTCAATTGCTTTAAAGAAATAAGACATAGGTTGTCAATTTATGCGTGCATTAATGAAGTAATCTTATTAAACAGCTTCATGTAAGACTTACATTCAAATTCATTTGTCCATACTGATTTTTCAGTTGTTCGGAGTATTACAGCAAAAGCTGTACTCTTGCCTGCAACAGATAACAAAGAACAGATTACAGTCCAAAAATTCGAAATTATATTTTTCATGAACGTAAATGAAGCTATTTTTAGATAATTATTTACATTATAATATATTTCAATTGTATGGCAGCTAATCACTTAAAATATATTTAACTATATCAATTGTATAGTATTCTGATTAATTAATAAAAGTACACAGCATAAACAAATAGCACATATAATTAAAAAAAAAAAAAGTAAATAAATAATTTAATAGACATTACTGCTTTAACATACTCTTTCTGTCCTGCCTCTTCACTAATTTATTATAATTTATTAAATTAACAAAAAAATAAATATAGCCCTATTAAACTGTTTCCATTGTAATATTTGTTGTACTGGCTTTAATTTAGTATGATTTTAATAACATTGTGCACGGGCAGGATCATTTTTCATTACCATACTACATTAATGAGAATATAATGAGTATCACTGTTGAAAATTAATATCAGATATGACCCAGTTCTGGACATGTTTTACATGAAATGCTCTTTACAGTGTAATTATAATAATGATCTTATTTCAAACATTCTTCTTTGATTATTTTCTTATGTTCTAATGTCAAAGACGAAAAAATCTTATGAATTTCAGTAATGGGTGACTCAGTTTCTCAGCTTTATCTTTTCGACTTTTTATAATGTTTATGGGAAGCATAATGGAAGAATAAACTTTGTAAGTATCTTGGGGAAACTGTAACCAGACCTGAACACATTTCTGGTGAAAATTCATGGACAGATTTAGAAGAGCTTGTGTGTTTTTTCAGTTTCGATCTGTCCGCACCAACTCAAAAAGGCCAGACAGTGTGACATAATGAAAAGGCAAATATGAAACAAATTATTTGGCAAAGCCTGACAGTCCCAATAGGCTTCGCTCATATGAGAAAATAATTTGGGGTTTAGGGCATTTGCTATTTCCAGATGCATTTTCCACTTTCACATAATCTCATGAAATCCACAGAGTGTATTTACAGTGATCCATATGTGATCATCTGTGGCTTTAGCATCAGATTAAAATCTTACCATATGGACTTCTGCAAAGCATGAGACAGACTTCAGTTATCATAAGCCAAACATCTGTGGCGTTTTATCATCACCTAGACTGACAAGCTCGAGGAATAGCTACACATGGGACAGTTTTGTACTGATGAAGTGAATTCTGCTGCATTTAACTACTGTAAAGAGGCACATTATGGGAGACTAGAGCAGAGTCATATTGCCACAGCTGGAGAACGTCAAGGTTTCTGGTGACGTTTCTAAGGCTGACTTTCCCATCGCATGCATCATGGTCTATTTTTACATCTGCTGTTGACATTTCCCGATTAGACAAGCTACATTATCCACCACTGGGAAGCATGCGGTCACTGTATGGAAGCGACAATGTCAGAAAGGTCCCTGTTTACATCAAACAAAAGAATGCTGCATAAATATGAGATTCATTTTTTTTGTTTGTTTTTTTTACTTTAGTTACATTATTTTTCTTCATATGTGTGTTTTTATAAATACATATATATATATATATATATATATATATAATTTTTTTGTATAATTAGTCCAAGAATGTGTATGAATAATGTAGTGTGTGTTTATATCTAATATATATAGAGAGAGCGAGATGTTTGTTTTGTTATTAAAAAACACAAATCCTAAAAACACCTTTCTGCATTTCCACTCTAAACAACATAACAAAAGCTTTTTAATATGCGTGTTATTTTATGTTAATTGTGATTTCAGTTTACGGTTGTTTTGAGGGCATACTTTGTGGATAATTACTGTACAAGACAATAGCTGATTGTTGTAGCATTTCACATGACATACTAACTAAAAGTGCTATTCCAGACTTTACAAAGAAGTGACCTAAAAAGTGACGGGAAAAAGAAAGAGTGGGAGAGAAGGGGGTGGTGGTGTGATCTTTGACTTGAGACATTCTTTATCGCATGATTGTTTACAAAAACTCTTCTCCACAGTTCTGACAGCACTTTCTAGTTTACAAAGACCCCGCCACTGGTCAAAGTGAAATTAGGCTGAAGTTGAGCCCATTTGAAAGTATTTTGGTATTCAGGACACATTGACCAACAGCAACGGCTTTGAGAATGAGTGAATGAAGCTACACCTCTTCACACATCCCACAACTTGCACAGAGGCACATTGTGCTGAGAAGAAAATGAAAAGCTCTGGTTGAGTCCAATAACATGTGACCGGCAATACCTCAAAAACATGTCAGCTACAATGAAATAATTCAACAAACTTAAATAGTTGATTTTCTACCCTTGTGAAAAAGAAGTGGGCTTAAGTGCATTGAATGTGTTCTTACAGTGTACTTCAAATCTTAAAACCATATATTTTTAGAACACTATATTAATAATATAATATTACTGAAATAAAAAAAAAGAGTACTTAACAAGATTACACTTTCATGACAGTTTTCAAACACAATTAAACTTTTAAAAATGTCAAATTAAAAGTTTTACTTTAAACTACATATTCTTTTAATATGAATTTTTTTGTCATGATTTAAGTGATCCCACAACTTGCACAGAGGCACATTGTGCTGAGAAGAAAATGAAAAGCTCTGGTTGAGTCCAATAACATGTGACCGGCAATACCTCAAAAACATGTCAGCTACAATGAAATAATTCAACAAACTTAAATAGTTGATTTTCTACCCTTGTGAAAAAGAAGTGGGCTTAAGTGCATTGAATGTGTTCTTACAGTGTACTTCAAATCTTAAAACCATATATTTTTAGAACACTATATTAATAATATAATATTACTGAAATAAAAAAAAAAGAGTACTTAACAAGATTACACTTTCATGACAGTTTTTCAAACACAATTAAACTTTTAAAAATGTCAAATTAAAAGTTTTACTTTAAACTACATATTCTTTTAATATGAATTTTTTTTGTCATGATTTAAGTACTCTTATTTTAATGCGTTGACACTAAATACTAAAGCACATATAAAGTACTTGATTTGAATTTGAACTGTAGTGTGTTTTTCAATATTTAAAATGAACATATTTTAAATGTACTAAATTGCATCTTCATCATTACAAATGTGAAAATACAAATATATTTAATGACATACACATTTCAATAGAATTAGATTCTTGTTTACCATAAATGCTTGCCATTGGCAGTACAATAACTAAAAGCAAAATAAGTAATTATTAAATTACGCATTGGCAAAAAACACTCTAGTTTAATTAGTTCAACTAATTATTACATTTAATATACAATGCATTTTCATTTAACATGCAATTAATTATATTCAGTTCACTCATTTCAAATAAGTAATTTTTTACTCTTTTTAAAAGTATGCTAAAGTGGACTTCTTTTTCAAAAGGGTATTCATCTGATTAAAACGACTCTAAATGAAGCTATTAACACACAGAAGCATACTGAGGAACACAAACAAGAGCTGTGTCTCAACCCCTAGTGAATGAACTAACGTTACTTACCTAAGCAACACCTTCGAGTATATGATGTTCACATTAGAAACGTTCGAACGCGGTCAAAAATGCTGTCAAAGCAGGCAGTTCACTGGGTATTGAGACACGCTCGTTGTATTCCACTGCTGGGGGATATAAACCAATCACCCCAGCAGTGAGTAACATTCCCATCTTACTAGAAACCGCGAGCTGTGTTTACAAAAACTGAGCGTGGCGTTAAACGGCTAATGGTAGTAAAGCATTAGCAGCAGGGGTCAGCGCGAGAATACCATCACACGGATACACGACCGCCACAATTCAACAAGACCTACTCGCTCATTTACAGCAGATGAAGAAATATTACTCACACAGCCATGAGAGGAGCACCAAGGAAAGCGTTTGACGGCCGATCGCCATTTTGAACCGATGTTTTACATACAAATTTAGCTTAGCTGTCCAGACGACGGGGTGAACAAACTGGAGGAGGATGCTGCCCGCTGATGAGTTTCCATAGCTACAAGGACATCTGAGCGGAAGAGAGAGGAGGGGCTTAGGCGGCGCTCGCGGACTTCCGGTTGGTGATGCGCATTAACGTGAGGATTAAATTGGAGAAGAAGGTATTAAAATAGTACTTAGGCGTATTTGAGGTCTAAATCGATAGTTATGTCAACATGTGGTAATTAGCATTAGGAGTATTTCTCGGATAAGAGCGATACATGTCAGCTTGGGCGTATATATAGTTTTCCAATAGCTTAAAATCGGATTTAAAAGCCAGAGTGAACACAAAAAGAATGTATCTTACATTAAAATGATCAGCTGAATTAATGCGTCTAGCATAATTTTCACATTTCAACACCAGATGGCAGTGTTAGAGAGGATAAAGATCATATCTGGGGGTCAGTACACGTAAATATCATTACGTTATACTTAAAATATTTATCAAATATTTTTTATGAACTTTTGTGGTACACGGTTTTCGTTTCGTGTTCATCTAAACTTGTCTTTTTTATTAGTGTAAGACGCTTCGTCTCTTACTCAAGTGGCGAAATCGGTTTCTTTAAACAGACTCTTTCTAAAATGAATTACCAAAAAGTTCATATAGGCGATTGTTGTGATGATTAGTGTAGTATGAGTGTATGAGAAGTGTGTGATATTTTTAACAGTTTAAAATAATTGTGCAGATAATTGTTTGAGTTGCCAAAAAAGGCAGTAAAAAGTAACAACACAACAGTTTCTGTCTGCATCCCAGCTGAGCGGCTTCACACCTCACACCTGGTTACACTATGTTTTTGTTTGTTTGGCCTAAATGCTAATGAAATATTAAATCACAAGGAAATAATATGTTTATTTTTTACTTCGAATAAAAAAAATATAACCTTTACCAATCATTTTTAGAGAGCGAGAGAGAAAAGAAGAAACAGAATCTACACACTGCAGTAGAAGATAGAAGTAAATATTTATTAAATATTTGGTATATCACCACTTTCATCAGCCACTTTTAATTCACACACACACACACACACACACACACACACACGCACACACATTTGGTTTCCATGTTTTATGGGGACATTCCATAGGCTTAATGGATACTGTACAAACTGTATTCTCTATCCCCTTACTCTAATCCTACCCCTAAAAAAGGACAAGGATTTTGGATATTGCCATCTTTGTAATGTAGGGTATACCTGAACCACACACACACACACACACACAAAATTACATATAACATGGCGAGGACAGTCATATAGAATTATGGGTACAGTTATGGGTACAGGTCAAAGGTCACCCTGAGGTCACCCTTTCATGTTATAACTTGAATGCATTATTCAATTCTTGGGGTCGAACCACACCATGCTCAACAAGGGACTTAGCTTATTATGTTGTACAGTACTATTCACAGAAGCAAACTAAGAAAATCAGTTATTAAATGGCATTTTAATTAGGACAATGAATCTTATTATTAGTCTCCCTTAGAAAACAACATAGGATGCTCATGCATTCATGCCAAAGTATTTTATACTTAAATGAACCTTTTTTACATTTAGCAACACGTTCGTGCCACTGGAGCACAGCCGAAGACACAGCCTGCATCACACCCCCTCTCGCCACTGTTACACTGTGTTTGCACACATTGCGACCAAACTGTCCAGCTCTATAGGCGCCTGCTGCGTCTGCTCAGAGTGTTTGAATGCTTTAGTCCTCTACAGAACAATGACACCTTCGGAGCTTCATTCATTCTTGGCCTGGTATATATTTATTTATATATGATGCATGATGTCTTGAATACACATTCACATGCTTGTTTGTGCGTGCAGTGAAAGGCCTTCCTGGATGGAGTCATCCAACGGTGCACATGAATCTGAAGATCATTTCAACAGCTACTTTATCTGCACCATCAGAACATATGTGACCACGAAACCATGGCAACCATCTCAGGTGCTCTGGCAAGCTGGAAACAAGGCCAAAGGAATGTGTTTCACAAGCCCGCATTAGTGTTAAATGGTGTTACACCTCGCATCAAAAGCAAACACTAGGAGAAAGATGCCACGGTCATTTAAATATATAGTGTTGATAAGTGTTATTTGCTATATCATTCAGCAAGATGATTGTGTGTCAAATTTATTTGTAAAGTGCATTTCACAATACAAATCGTTTCAATGCAGCTTACAGAAAGTCATACTATGTCTATAATGCTTTTGATGATATATAATGCTGATACAAGTGATCCTCCGATTTTATATCTAGCTAAATTGCAGCGCATTTTTATCAATTTTTAATATTGGTCAGTAATGTTGTTTTGTTCTTTAGCGAGAATAAGTGATTCTCAAAAATGATTATGATCAATTGTTGCAGGAGAAGTCCAATATTCATTGTGTATCTTTATAATATACTGACAGACACCAGAAAACAGAAAGTGATTAAAAAACACACATTATGAATCAAAGTTCATCACAAATAAATTTCTTACAAGCTGAGGTAATTCTAAAATATAAAAGCTGCACAGTTTTATTCACACAAATACAAAACACCATCATGGTAACACAAGCAGTGGTGGAAATGGCCACAATTCACCTGGGGACTGCAGCTTGGAAAGGGGGAGGGGATTATAATGGTAATTTTAGATGACCTTTCGCATGTATTTAATTATAAAACCCTTTATAATCTATAATAACATTAAGCTTATTTCATATTTTCTCTAAAACCTTCTTGGATATTAAGACAGGCACCTGCAATTCTGGCCAAATTAAAGATACATTGTGTGTGAATTTGCACATGTTATAATGTAAGCATCATTAATGACCCCTTGTGTTTAATTAAAAAAATTGATTAGTGAAATGAAAGAATGATTTAATTAAAAAATGAGACTGATTATTAATGGCTTCTAATTGGCCTGTTTAGCTATGCCCTCAAAACACTTCTTATTTAGTGGTACAGTATTGCATGATTTGTAGATATTTAATAGTTTACACTTTACATAAACGCTTGCAATAGTTTTTAAAAGGTAACTTTACATTCTTAAGGACTCTACGCCGCTTACATCTCTTTTCAGGAGCACTTGTGATCTGATCATTGACAGAAATTAACCTTCCCATTATAAGGCGATATTTGACTCCTTAAAGTTTTGTTCATTTTTTAAACCTTTGTAATTCCTCTAACTTTATTAAATGTATGTCATCTTTTGTGCCAAAATTTTTTGATTTATAAACTTTTATCAAAAATTTTAATTAAACAATAAATTCAATTAAAATAATAAAATACAATCAGGAAGAATAAGTTACTAGTCAAATGAAATCAGCATCAACAATTGATCTTTGCACGGCACAGAAGAACATAAATGTGGCATTAAGGAATATTTACAAACTTTTTGACAAGACTCAGAGGTGGCATAAATGCATTTCATAATAACAATGTTATTAAATTAATGTTTTAAATATAAAGTATTGAATACAGAAATATTAAACGATTTATATGACTCAATTTATACTTTAAAAATAAAACTGAAACTGCCAGTAGGTGGCAGCAAGTCACTGTCTTTGTCAATGAATCATTCATTCAGTCGATTCGTTCAAATGGCTTATTCATTTAGGAACGAAGCAAGTGACTCTCTTTATGAATGGGTCATTGAATCATTGACTCACTAGATTTGTTAAAAAATGCAGATTCATTCATAAACGAAACAGCTCTGTGTTTGCTTGGAGATGCACAGCGGCTCATCTTTGACTTTGGAACTATTTTCGTTGACAAAATAGAGCACAATCAGACAACAGTGTTCCTAAAATGTAAGTCACTTAATATTAACTTTTGTATAAAATCAAAAATGTATAGCAAATGACAGCATTGAGCAGCGAACCATAGATGTGCAGAACTGGGATCGCTTTCGTAGTCTTTTGAATAGATAAAATATAGAAATCACATTTCCAAATAAACCAAACCAGTTGGAAATGAAAAAATGAAACCCCCATGGACGTTATGTTTTTACGTACATAACTGATATGTAAAAAAACACAGTTATTTTACTTAAAAAACAAAATATGAGCTCACACAGCGAATTGTGCGAATGTCAGTTTATGGTTTTTGCACTGTAAATTATAAGATGACTTGTTCTATTTAACTTCCAAAAACAGCAAAGTTAACAGAATTTTACTGTAAAATTACATTAAAGGGGTCATATGATGTTGCTAAAAAGAACATTATTTTGTGTATTTGGTGTAAATAAATGTTTATGCGGTTTAAGGTTCGAAAAACACATTATTTTCCACATACTGTACATTATTGTTTCTCCTCTATGCCCCGCCTTTCTGAAACGCGTCGATTTTTACAAAGCTCATCGGTCTGAAAAGCGAGGTGTGCTGTGATTGGCCAGCTATCCAGTGCGTTATGATTGGCCGAATACCTCAAGCGTGTGACGGAAATGTTACGCCCCTTACCATACTGTGATGCTGTGTCCGACCAGAGCGTTTGGATTTGAGACTTTAGTCTTTGCAACTTTACAGATCTTCTTTATGCACCAAGAGCTTGTAACACTCCAAAGAGAAAGGAAAAATTGAAATCGCATCATATGACCCCTTTAAATGTCCCATTCAATTTTTAAATTTCTTTCCCACTGTATAGGCTATAGACAGTAAGGGAGCTTGTGGTTAACCAATTAACTGGTTTTACCATAGCATTTTTACAGTTAAAAGCAGGATCTTTTTTTTATTTAGCAATAAGCTCTTTCACAGAATTCTGTACCCGTTCACCATATTTACCTACTCCTACAACAGATGTTTAGGGAGCGTGGGAAAGAAACTGTACCATAAGAATGATCTGAAACTGATATTTCAAGGTAAAGACAGAGATACAGTTGCTTTAATGTGGTTAAAACTTGCTTATGTTGTGGTAAAGATTTTTGTTGAAAATTGCTTCAAAGCTTTTGGTTATATCGTCAAAACAGGGAGGGGCTAGAAAGTCAACACATAATAAAACTTGTATATGAAAAACAACAAACACCTCATTACTGTGTAGCTCCAGCTTATATTTGGAGACTC